CAATGAATGTTCTTTTTAGTAAAGAAACGCAAAATTTTTGACAAATATTTGCTGCAAGAATTGTGCCAGATACATATCAATGAGATCTATCGATTGGTATCAGTTTTCGATCTTGTTTATTCACAGGACGATGCCTATTTGGCCAAAGATTGGTGGGACAGATGATGTTTACCAATATTATGGACTAATATTCATTCTAAGAGGGGTAGTGGTTGTGTAAATGCCACTAATGGATAGAACTTCATAAAATCTATCGATTAATATCAAATTTGACCCTTTTCATCAACCCAACGAATTTATACCTGGCTAATTACTAGTTGGACAGCGAATTTATACCTGACTAATTACTAGTTGAACAACGAATTTTGTCAATATCGCTCATATTGATATCAATCTCCCACTGACATGCTACTTTTATCTTTCCTCTTACTCTCTCTATTGTTTTGGTCTGTGTTTTTCTCTCCGATATAAACTTGTGTTGAAGGTGAGATAGTCACGCTGTGAAAATAGGTGATAGGTGAATTAGCATCATTATCGATGGTGATATTAAGCCACTCGTCCAGTTTGTCGTTATATACCAATCATGACAATCAAATTTGCATTTCTAGGTTTGAAGTTGAACTTTGCCAGAAATAACAAGAACTCAACATCATCAATTATCAATTGTCAATTGACAAGACGAAGTAAATAACTGGGAAGAATATCATCGACATGTATGAAAGATCAAATTATTTCAAGCTAACAGCAACGAACGGTAAAATATACTGATTGAGTTAATGAATCGATGAAGAGATAAAAGTTGAAGTATGTAACATTGTTAGATGACTGTGGTATTAAGTTGTTGTAAACCTAGCAGAATGGCAATGCTACAGAACACTAGTGAATATAGTAAAAGGCAGCTAGAAAGGTATCAGCTGTGCGAATATTTCAGTGCACTGTCCTTTTTTTATGTCGGCACGCTTCAAGTCACTTCTTTTCAAGTCATATCGTTATTCTTTACCTCAATTGTTTCATTTTCACTCTAAGAAAAACAGAGAAAGGAACAAGCCGGTGAGTTCTTCTCCAGATCGATGACATCCTATAAACTAACTGATTTAATTGACAGAATAGATCTAAGAGTGTAGATACAGCGATGTCGTTGATCTGTATAAGTTTCTATTCATCAGGGACACTGCAATGAGTCAAACAATAACGGATTGCTTCTGAACTGTCATCACCATCGGCATTCCATCGAACTAACTGTTCCTAATCATTAAGACGTGTCATAATAACATATTCTCGGATGAATCTATTTCACGATGAAAAGCAATCAATTGTCACCGAGAAATGATATGCCATTCAAATGGCTAATATCAAACTGATTTTTTTTTTTTTCTGATTGTCATGATCCAGCATAAATTTTGCTTTCTTTTCGTGCTTACTGGAGGTGTGTACATTTCATCTTATGAAATATGAGACGGTTTTTCTTTTTCTACGAAGAATTATTAGAAGAATATTGAATTTGTTGTTTTCTATAGTTCGTTGACCAGCATTACGACGTTGAACTGTTTTTTTCTCTCTTGTTTGTTTTTTTGCATTGAGATGCAAAGGTAATCTGATCAGAAAGTATAAAACGAAACCTTTCTAGATATTGTTGATGCACTTGGGTAGACCTTTCTTAATATCACGAATTTTTTCATGTTCATTGGCATGATATCACACCTGCAATATATAGGCACTTCTTTTTAGTAGCTGATTGATTCTTTTTTCTTGTTCATAACCAAGTTCTATGTTTACCTTTTGTCTTAATATAATGATATTAGTCAATATTAATCTTATCTTTTATACATCAGTTGATAAAGTTCAAATGATAAACTTATTAGTGTGTTCTGTTCGGTATTCTTCGTTAGAATATGTCCTTGTTTCTTTTTTGTTTTTTCTTTCTATAACATACAGACGCTCAGAAGCTTGTCTTAACTGAGTAAGAAGAGTATGCCAATACCGGTATCACTTCCTCACAGATATATTAACTTTCTCTTTCTTCCTTTTCTTCTTATTCTCTATGTTGTTTATCCTGTGCTACTTTCTTTTCTATGTATATAAGCTTGCGTTGAATGTGAGAGCTTGTTTATATGGATATGGACAAAAGGAGAGAGAAGTATAGTTATCACGTGTTTATAAATTTTCATCCTTCTTTTTCACAATTCTGTCTACTTTATACATTTCTATTCAGTAACATTTAGAAAAACACAAAATATACAGTAAGAAAGGTTTTTTAATTTTTGATCGTTCAATTTCTTTTTGATATCTACCAAGTACGAGTAGTTATGCAGAAAAAAAAAATACCCGTTTTTATTTATCGTATGTATATAACTAATACAGCGTGGTCAACCCTTAGAGAATTTAATTTTTTTTTTTTTTTAAGGATAACCTCTGTAACGATAAATACTAACATGCTGAAATTTTGAATGAAGAAAAAACCTATAGAGTTCTATTATTAGTAAAAACTTTTAATCAGTTTAGCCGAACTCAGGTAAATTTATGAAGAAAATAGAGAGACTTAATAAATTGTATGAAAGGAAAATTGTTTTTTTTTTTAAATAATTTAAAAGTTTTTATTTTATTTTTATCAGCGGAAATTTTACACAAAGAAATATTCTAGATGAACATTGTACAATTTTTGACAAGTTCTCAGAATTTTCTTTTAATCTCCAACAAATGTGTATTGTTCAATTAGAGATCTGAAAATAATATCCATTAGAAAATTTCATCTTTTTTTCAAATTTGTATTTAGAACATGGAATAAAATCTTAAGTAAAAAAATACTATCAAGTATTTGTCATTAATATCAAATTCTGCATAAAGTAGTAAATTTTTACGAAAAAAAAACTGTTCGATACAGATTTCAATTATATGGGTATTTGAGAAGGAAAAAACAGCATTTGCTTGGTACAAAAATATTTAATAATCAAAAAATAACTTTTAAATTACATAATGTTGGCTGTTTAGAAAACTGACACGATAATTAGATCGAACAAGTGTATGTTATGTGATTATACCATTTTTCGTCCCAAAATTGTCAATATAAGTTTTAAAAAAAATATTCTGTGATATAGTTCTTTTCTTTTTACGGGGTTTTATTTAAAATGTAGATAAATTATGAACACAATAACTTGATTAGTAAACATTTTGTATGTAAATCAAATAGTAAACGAGCACGACTGTTATCTATTTACTAAGATATAATTAATAAATTTTGTTTTATTCAGCAATGATCTTTTAAAATTTCACAACTACAGATTTTATAAATGAATACTCTAACGAAGAAACATATCCAACTGTCGGACGCTGTTTGATCCCATCTTTTGGCTGTAAGTAGGACTCAGTGAGACTAAGACAATTCTAAAAGAGTTCGTGCCTGGACGGTGATCTCGTTGCCACATAGATGTAAGAAAATCGAATTTTTTTTCGAAAGTTTTTTTTTTCTTTACTCTGAGAAGATAAACACTGAAATCTTGGACATAGAATTTTCATTCGATACTACCAAGTTGGCTTATATTTAATGAAAACAACAATGATATGGATTTGTCTTCTTTTTTATTAATATCCAATGTTCGATTTTCTTGCACCTATCTGACAATGAAATATCCTTCTAGACCGATCAAGGGCACGAATTATTATAAGATCTTTTTAGTCTCACTGAGACATAGCTACAGCGAAATGATGAGATCGAGAGTGTGGGTATTATTTAGAAATAGAAATGTTTTCATTTCTTACACTATCAATAGTGTTCTTTCCAATAGTAGATTCAGGTTTTTCTTCAGTCTGAATCCACAACATTTGTAAATTGACTAATGTTTGATCGTGTTGAATAGATAAATGAATGAATTTTACATCTGTGATTGAGAAAAATATTGATCAAAAATTTTTTGCCGACGTAAAATGATACGTAATATTGATTGTTTTTGTTTATAAGATAATTCTTGATTAAGACTATGATTATTAAAATTAATTTCAATACGATGACATGAACATTTATTAATATAGTCTATTTTTTCAAGTAAATCATTAATATGTGGTTTTATACCTAATTCATTTTCATCTTTAAAATAAATATAAATTTGATTTGAAAGATTTAATGATTGACATGGAATAAATGTTTTATCAATAGATGATAGAGATGTATTTGTTGTACTATTCGATGAATATTTTAAGTTTATTGAAGGTTTAAAAGAATCAAGAATACGTTGAATTAATTCACTTTTTGTTGTTTCAATACTTTTTATATTTGATGATGATGATAATTGACTAGATGTTTGTGAAATTTCAATATCTGATTTAGTTAAATTTTGCGTAGAGATTCTACAGAGATAAATATTAAAAAAAAAATGAAATTCAATTATGTTATAAGAATACTTAGGATCAAGAGTAGAAAGTTCGAGAGAGTTTGTTGTTATATTTGTATCGTTTCTAAATTCTTTCGGATAGATAGATGACTAGAAAAATTTATTTTTAATGTAATTTTATGTGATTTTTCTTTTACTATTTGAATACCGATAATGATTCTTCATATTGTATTGAGAAATTTTCTTCGATTATAGTCTGTTTGTTTATTTGATCATGTGAAGTATCAAGAGAATTTATTGGAAGTAATTTTTGATATTTATTACTTTCATCTAGAATATATACAACGAATATTTATATTATCATAAACAAATATTATTATTTTTAATTATTACAAATATCGAATTCTTTATTTTCATTAGACATTCTTTTAAGAGTATGTCATAAACAATCATATTAAGAAAACAAACGGGCGAACAAATAAATTTTATTCGTGTGACATAAGGCGCCTTTTTCTTGCCGCTTTCAATGTATCGTGAAAAAAATAATACACAAGATATTGTCTAATTTTATAGCAAGTGTTCTGATAAATAGTTTGCTGATGATAACGATTTTTTTCTTAAGTCATCATATTATAAGGAGAAGTTTGATATTTATTTATTTTCATTTTAGACCGAATGAAAATGATGGCTAATGATGAACGAAAATTAGCTACATCATCACTGATACCATTAGAAATCGATCCTGGTAAACAAATAGAATGATTTAATTAATTTTTTAATTTTGATAAAAATTTTAGTGAGCATATTGAGTTTATCAAAAGGTGTCATATTTGATACAATTGTTCATAATATTGAATATACATTCAATAATCGACGTACAGATCCTTTACCATGGAAACTTGTCGGAATGTCTCTAATATGTGATCCTAGTCGAAATAAAAAATATACACAAAAACTTCAAAAAATGCAGGTAAATCATAAACTAATGTTCAGAAAGTTTTTTCAATAAATAATTTTTCTCTCTACAAAACTGTGACGTTTGTTTTTTCAAATAATTTTGCAAATGTTATAGTCTTTTGATTTCGGAGTCAGGTTGAAATTTTGATGTTTTTTACATGCAAAAAAAGATATTTATTATGTATTACGACCATGGTCACATACAGACTATGATATCCTAGAATAAACTCTATTTTAAAAGGTAGCAGTTAAAATGAATAAAAGTGATGACTCATTTTGATAAATCCGTGATAGTTATCTTGATTTCTTTATATTACCGTGGTGTATTTAAAAAAATTTTTTTTTGTTTGAGCATTGGTTTATACATAGTAGCTAGCATCGAGTAACCCGAGTTTAATTAATTGTTCTTATCTGTGTTTAGAGACAGACAAAAATTTAGAGCAGCTGTATTTTTCAGTTTCCTTCTCAATGGTAATAACTAGGAAGAATCTGAAAAAGTATTTGACTAGCAGAAAATGATTTTCTATCAGGATTGGTAAATCTAAGAACTCTAATAAAATGGCTAGAATGAGAATACTTGCAAAAAATCAAGACTCGACAAAACCAGTTTTATGATATCCATTTGAAGCTTTTTGAAAATGATTCTATTTGATAGACCAAAATGAGATGTTTCAACTCTCTCCTTGACCTTTTATCGAACTGTATTCAATGCACAGAAGATCCAAGAAACATTTTTCTATTGTTGTAATGAAAAATTTCAATGAGTTCGTCGTGTTTGACGTTTTGGAACTTGTTTTAAATTGAATGTAATTCAATGAAGGAAGATCATGAACAGAGTCGAGACCTCTAATTTTGCTCCATCAAATAAAACCATTTTCAAAAAGTTTCAAATCAATGCTAGAAAACTAATTTTGTTAGATTTTGATTTTTCAGATATTCTCATCCTAGCAATTTTATTGAGTTTTTTAGGTTCAGTAATCCTAATAGAAAATCCTTTCAGCTACTGAAATATTCTTTCAGATTCTTTCTATCTATTACCATCGAAAAGAAAACTCCAAAAATATAATTATTCTAAACTTATGTTCACCATTATAGTTATCAAAGAAATGGATATCGATTTTCAAGCTGAATGTTCACTAAAGATAGTGTTGAGCATGACCATTATAAGGCGAGATAATCAGAAAAAGAAGTGTACCTTCTCATCGATGCTGAAACAGCTGATTAAAGGTGGCTTTTTGTCAAAGGAACCTATAACATCGTAGTAAGAATCAAAGAATTACAGAGAAGCCGAAAAAAAAGTAAGATGAATATGATAATATTGAATAACTTTCTGAAACAGAAATAACGAGAACAGCACCTCTGAGCTTGGTGATTAGAATGCGTTGATAGATATTATATATCCGTTGTCATCTATGTAAAATATATAAATCTGAAAAGTTTATGTCACACACTTTTTCTTGTAGACTTTTCTTAAATCTATTTCTATTATCTGTTAGTAATATTATACCGAAGAAATATTTATGAGAAAAATCTTGAAGTAATCAATGGAAAAACATTGAACAAATCCCTTGTGTGGCAAGACTATGCAATTGTTTTTTTTTCTAACTCGATGCAATCTAATCTTGTTTCATAGCAGCAGAAATCTTGAAAATGTCATGGAAGCATAGTGTACAAAATTTTCTATTCATTGATGCGAGCCGCGTTACTCTTTGAATTGCTCTTGATGAAGATAGACTGGAGAAAATTGTAGTCTGACGAGTGAACATGTGTTCATATTTGAAATATTACTCCGACGAAATTCTTTTTTATTTTTTTTATAGACAGATGACAAAGTATCTTTACTGATACCTTAGAAAATCGGTTGGGAATTATGTTTTTTTTCTCTTGCTGTTAGAAACTCTAACTCAGTTTTCTTGGTTTTCTATGTTTAAATTAGTGTGTTCCATCGGTTATATGTACACAAATATATCATTCAAAACTTGTAAAAACCGAATCCGGTACATTGACAACACCAGGACGAAAAATTGTTATTCCAACTTTTCCACGTAAACACTTAACAGGTATTATCGTTTGTCGATCAATCGATGAATTGTTATATTTGGAATCTGCAAACACAGAAAATGTTCATTTTATACAATATAAAGTAAAGAATTTTCTTTTACTTTAAAAAGAAATAATTATTTATTCATAGTTATTATCTTATGAACGTATTGCAACACGTGAACTTGTAAATGGACCAAAATTACCATCAATTGGTGATAAAATTATTGTAGGATTATTGTAATTATAATTGATTGATGCTAGAAAAAAACTTTTTTTTGTTGACTTAGAAAACAGTTTTCGATTTTGAACTAAGTCAAAATAATGGTTTTCCACGACAATTATTACCTGTTGCAATAATATCATTTACAAGACAAGCAGGTTGTGATTTATGTTTATCAATTCGAAATTTTCTTATATTAGATGAACATAAAGTATTTGATAAGTAAGAAAAACAAAAAGAAGAAGATTCAAGCAATTATTTTTTTTTTAATTTTATTAATATAAATTCATATGAATAGATCGTATCTTGTATCATCTACAAAAGCTGAATTAGATCGTTTACGTGAAGAACAAGAAAGAAAAGAAGATGCCGAAGCTGAACAAGAATTAGCATGGGAAAAAATTCAACCACGACAACCACTTGCTGATTTATCAAAAAAGAGCACCGGTATGATTCAATCTTCACTTCTCTTTTCTTTCTTCATTTTTGTGAAACACGGCCTAAAAAGATTGTTGAAGTACAGATGTAAAAATTTGATACCCTCCTCCACAGACCATGACAGACGCTAGTAAGATAGAGATCTGCGAGAACAATTTTAGTCCTGGTCAACCGGAACTACAAGAAAAGTCGTCTCAACCGGACCTAAAGATCATAGTTAAATAGTCTATATTTTTAAGCGAATTATGTTATAAATCATCAGTGAAAACATAATTCAACAAAGATCACCCAAAAACGTACTAGTCCTCGACTAAATAAATCACAAGTCGAGTATTGAAGAATCTTTTTACATGTGATATGAATAAAATCTGGAATAATTTTTCATAAATCGGGATCGGGACTGGGACTAAATCAGATTTATTATGACTGGAAGCAATGGAAAAGCATTACTGAGACGCAAAAACCTTGGTCTCGCGCACCTTTATTCACAGACTATGACAGACATTGTTAATATACGATTACAGATCCCTATATCAATAACGTCTCATTAAACTGCTTTCTTATTACATTTTCGAAGGTTTTAATAAAATGATGATGAAGAAATATGTTCCGAAATAGATAGAAAAAAATAATCTCTGTGTGATTAGCAACAGAAACTACATCGTGTTTCACATTTTAATCCCGTACCAATTATGCTAACAGTGTTTTTTTGTATATTAATATGTCTGTTTTTAGATACTGAAAATGCTCAACCATCACCCATACCACAATCATATCCACGTGTACCTCCTTTGAAAATAAAGATTCCTCGTCCATCACTTGACTCAAAATATCAATGTTTACTTAAATTGGATAGAATTGATTTATCTTTATATGATATTAGTAATTTATCAACCATATCACAAACAAAAAATAAAAAACCAAATGAATCATCAATATCATCAGATGTAATCAATAATAAAACAAAACCATTTACTATTAGCAAATCACATGAACATCATAAACCATTGAAACGTTTAAATGCTACAGAACCAAAAAAACAATCAACTCATTCTTCAGAAGTTAACAAAGAAAAACCTAATGATAAATCAATATCTATTCGTTTATCAAGAAATAATGTAACTTCATCATTGACTAAAGATGAAATAAATAGAAGGTCATCATCTATTTCGTCAATGTCATCAATAAATATTCCAAAACGAACAGGTTTGTTTAAAAAAAAGAAAACTTTCTGTAGATCCAATATTTGTCTACGTTTTTTCGTAAATATTTTATTTTAATAGTTGAAAAAAATGTAACCAAAAATAAAGTGAAACGACCGATTTTACCACCTGAATATCATTGTTCAATATCATTGTCACGAATTGATTTATCCATGTACAATCTTGATTTACCCGCTATTCCTATTTCTACTAGTACTTCTTCTATGAATATGGAATCGACAGGAACAAGTAAAATCATTTCTATTTAAATGAACTTTATACTTTGATTTTATATTTTTAGCATCACCATCCAACTCAACATCATCTAGGCAGCAAGAACAATCTACAAATGTACCAGTAGAAAAAGAAATTACTCAAGGTAAACAATTCATGATTGAAGTTTAGTTTCAGATAATTTCCTCAATATATAATGTGTTCAGAAAGTTACTAAACAAAGAAAATTTTCAATACTTCTTCCATATTTCATCATCAGATAGATACAGATATTCTTATGTCAGTGTCGAGAAATCTTCATTTTTTCATTCTTAAGATGAAAGATTTCCGTATATAGTAACTACCAAAATGATTCAACAAGGTTTATTTTCAATATTTTTCTGTTGCCGTAAACTCTAGAAAAACCCAAATAGTGATTTGAATATAGACAATAGTTTCGAACAAGAATATAAGAAAATAAAATAATTTCTTTTAGACTACATAGAACAATAGAGCAAACTATGTTCTACAAAATGAGAGACCTCTGAGTTTTCTGTAACACTATTTATGTAAGATACAGCAATTTTACGGAAGCTCCTAAATCTTTTTTTCCAATAGAAAAGCCATTTTTTTACCTTGAATCTGATTACTGTATTTTAGCTAAGAAATGTTGCAAAAAACTCGAAGTCGTTTCATTTTGTAGAAATCTGTTTGCTCTATTGTTCTACGTAGTGTAAAGAAAATTATATTCGTGCGCTCTAGGTGCTGAAAAATTAGGATTTGGGTTTTCTGAAGTCATTATCTTTGAAAATCTTATACTAATTTTCATTTTCTTATATTCTTGTGGAAAACCATTTTATCTACTCGAACCACTATTTGGATTTTTTCTAGCGCTTACGGTAACATAAGAAACTGAAAATAAACCATTTTAGTATGCACTGTATATGTATAATATTGTTTTATTTAAGTACTGAAATATGTAATGTCTTTAATCTCGACAATTCAATAGTGAAAATTTCTTGAAATAGATTTGAAATGTTCGTACCTATGTGAAAATTTAAGTTTCGATTTCACGTCATATTTTGGGAGGTTCTGATTCCAGGTAATTTTAGGAACCACTGAACTCTTATTTATGGTAAAAATATCAGCTCATATGGTGGAGATATCCAGTTTTTTCTTTGTTTGGTTATTTTCTGAACATTCTATATTTTATTTTAACCATAGTTCAGATAGATAATTTCTACTAAGAAAAAAAAGTTTTTTCGAGAAAATAAGAAAATTGATTGTAATGATAACTTTATTTCTTTACAAATATTTCAAAACAGTTATTATAATACTTTTTTCCACTATTACTAATATAGATAAGGAATTTTATATTTTCACTTCAGATACTAGTCAATCAATGTTTATAACAGAACAAAAAAATGTTGATGAACTGCCCGAACAAAAAATAATTTCCGTTGTTCAACAGTTTAATACTATAGATACAGATGAAACTTTAAAATCTATTATGGATGAATTCTTTACACCAGATATCAATGAATCTTTATCAAATACTAGAAATATCGTCCTACCATCATCTACGTCCGAAATGTTACAAGAAACTACCAATGAATCTATACTACCTGTAACCGAAGAAATTTCACCAGTATCTACAACCGAAGATCAATCACAAATTGCCAATGAATCTATGCTACCTATAATCAAAGAAATTTCATCAGCATCTACAACCGAAGACCAATCACAAACTGTCAATGAATCTCTACTACCTACAATCGAAGCGATTTCACCAGTATCTACAAACGAAGATCTACCACAAACTATAAATGAACTTTTACCAACTATTATCAATAAAACTCCATCGAAATCTATGGAAACTATTAATGAAGTTGTCTTACCTACTACAAATGAAGTTATGCAAACCATTCAAACTGAAGAAAATATGCAACCGATATCGCCTTCTCAATGTTTTACTTATTCACCTGAATTACCACCACTTGATGATGATCCAGTAGTGTTTTCAGTCGAAAGTTTACCACTTCCTGTAATGGATATTTCGGATACAGTCCCGCAAGATTTTCTTATTATTGTACCATGTTCAGATGACGAAGACGATATTGATGATGAAGAAACAAATAAAAGTAATAAAGATAATAAAATTCTCGAATCTTTTTCTTCACCATCTAAAATTAATATTTCTCCTGTTGCATCTAATCCATCATTAAAACGAGGTAAACTTTTCTTATTAAATTAATAAATTTTGTTTTTTTTTCAATAATATTTATCTTTTTAAGTTCTAACAAATACAAGTTCTTTAAATTCTCATCGTTCATCAACATCATCATGTTCATCAATATCTGTAATTTTAATTATGTGAATTTTCTTCAATTTTTTTTCTTGTTAAATATTTTTAGACATCGATTCTTCAGAATCAAAGTCCTCGATTACCACTTCGTTTAATTGAAATTATTATACCACAAAAAATTTTACATAAAAAACAACATAAACCAAGTCAAACAATAACTTTTAATCGATTTAATTTACTTATACCATTATTTGTACATGAACCATTAATTGATCCTCGTTTAATATATCGTTTACAAACTTTAACAACAGATCTTCGTTGGCCTAGTCCTTGCAATCAATGTTCAATATCCGAACAACTTCCATCATTATTTCATTCTTCAACACAAATGATATCATATGAACAAAAATGTCTATCTGAATTTATTGATCCACGTCGTGAATCATTAAAACAAGCTATATTAAATATAATATATCAACGCATAAAAATTTTAATGCCACATTTATTGATAATACGTTCGAATCGATTTCAAACACTTTTATTTGAACAAACTATATTTAAAACCAATTGTTCAATACATCTTGAATATCTGTTACATAAAATAAAAGTAATTGATGATATGAATTTTTTTCATATGATTAAAACTCAGGATGAATTTCAATTATCATCTTCTCTTTTACAACTTATTTTTACTTAAAACAATTCATTATATTGGATGAAGATAAACAAAAATAATATATATAGCGTTTTTTTGCTATATGTAAACTTTAGATATTTCTCAACGAAACATTTTTTTCTATGTTGATTTCGACAGTTAACATGTATTATAACATAGATATATACATATGTGTAAGGGCGTGCGTATGAAAAAGTTTGTTATTTCTTTTTTTTTTGTTATTGTTGTTCTTGTTCTTGCTATGTTGAAAGTCTTTCCATAGATTTCTATTCTTTTGTTCGTTTTTGCTTAGTTTAGTTATAAAAAGAAAAAAAAACAGTACTGAATAATAAACATCATGTAAAAAACAACACATGTCTTTGATTATGTAATGAAGATGATGTCTCTTGTTTGTGTAGATAAGAAAGTTTTAATATTTACTAGGTGATATTCACAAGAAAAGAAAAGTAGGTTCTTTTAATAGTAAAAAGATTTTATCGATCGATGACGTCATGAACAAAGTTTTCTTATTCTTTTAAATGTATTGTTAAAAAAGAATTAACATCTGAAATATTTCAACACAAACTTAAATAAATAAAAATTTGGAAAAATAAAATTGCACGTTAATTTTATTCTCACAAATTATATCTATTTGTTTACTGGTAGTAATCATATACTTTTAATGGAAGTTTTTCTAGACGACAAAAAATAAATAAACAATTCTAAATAGAAACATCATTTTACAAAAATTATCAATTTTGTGACGTTACCATACGACTAAGCAGAATTTCTTTTTCTAGATAATGATACTTTATACAAAAGAAGGTGAAATGAAAGAAAGGTCAAAGATAGAAATCGTGGAAGAATAAATTTTTCTACCTAGTAGTTATGATTCATCACTGAATATAACTTGTTTCTTACTTTTTTTTATCTACGAATTACTACTGAAGCTGATAACATTTGTCTTCAGTCAGACACACATTTCTCCTACTTTTCCTTTTGTGTAGTTTTGCCCTTATATGATATTAATCAACGACGAAATATAAAATAATGAGCAATACTCATCTAACACGCGCAGTTGTAAAACATGATAATCTTGAAGAGATAAGTCATTACATTTATGCTATTGTTTATCCCATCGTTTTTTTACTTGGTATCATTGGTAATCTACTTTCATCATTACTTTTCTCTATAACTACACTTAATCGTACATCATGTGGTGTCTATTTTCTTTTACTTGCTATATACGATTCAATTGGATTACTTGGTGGCCTTCATCATTGTTTAACAATTGGTTATCATGTTCCAGTACCTAATGCAACTTATTGTCGTGCACGTAATTTTCTTCTATATATATCTATGGATATGACTTCATGGATGATAGTAGCTATATCAGTTGATCGTTATCTTAAAGTAAAATTTCCTATTAAAGCACGAGTTTATGCTACACAAAAATTAGCAATTATTGTTTCATGTATAATAACGTTTGTTTTTATTATAAAAAATTTTCATTTAGCAACAGTTTTTATTGGAGATTTTACAGCTGATGCTGCTGATAATTGTGATCCAAATCCAGATTATCCTAAATATGTAGCATTTTTTAAAAATATTTGGCCATGGATTGATCTAACAACATATGCTTTATTTCCTTTTCTTATAGTTACATTATGTAATACATTTATAATTTATGATCAATATAAACGACGTGTAAAACTTCGTAAACGTAATCTTGATCGTTCATTAGTAACATTACTTTTAGTTAGTTCTATTTCTTTAATTGTTTGTAATCTTCCAGTATCAATTTTAGCTGGAATTTATCCATATATTTCGGTGTCATATGATACCAATAAGACATATGATGGAGTTGCATTTGCATATGATCTTCTACGAATACCATCTTATGTATCATTAGCATTAAATTTTTATTTATATTATTATTCATCAAATGTATTTCGACAACAAGCAATTGTTTTATTTAAACGTATATTTCGAATTAAATCCAAGACAAATGATATTGAATTAACAGAACGACCATATACAAATGGAAATCGTTATGAACAAAGACTGTATTCAATTGAAGAACCTGATGACTATCAACAAACAGCAATAACATCATTGACAGGCAGTAATTTTATTTCGAACTTTTATAGTCAAGAATAATTGAATGATAATTATTCATGTATAGTTAACTTTTAGTTTTTATACATTTATAAACTATTGCAATAAATATCAACTACAAATATATTTTTTCTCACGTATATGACATGGCAAGAATATATTTCAGATAATAAATAGCTACCAATTTGAATTATATGAAATCAGAAATAACTCGCTGTCTTTCAGACTACAGATTAGTTAGAAATGATCATATTTTATATTTAAACCAATCTAGATAACAGTGAAAACTGTTTTTGATCGACATTCTATATGAAGGTTATTCAACAAGTTTCAAAACTGATTTTATTTAAAAACAGTGATAAGTTCTAAAGCAAGTAGTTTAGCGAGACATTATTGATATATGGTTTGTAATGTCAATAATACTTATCACGGTTTGTGATGGTCTTTGGCAAGCGTTTCTCACGATCTGTGGAAGGGACGGTTCGAATTTTTACTGCTATACTTCTACACTCCTTTTAGATCGTGTGTGACAAAACTCAGAGTATGTATTTAGAAATAGCATGAAATTCTCATCCTAGCTGACTGCACTTGATGCTTTCCGGTGTCTTATAAGTAGACAAAAAATTGAACAGCTATACTCTATGCAAAGACTTTTTACATAAGCGTTAAATATATAGTTTTTTTTTTTAATAAATATAAAAAAAATTATTTTTCGACTGTATATCGTATAAGTCCATCATAAGTTTTATTCATTTTTTTGTTATTAAATTTAGCATAAACAATTATTTCTTGCTCTGGTACATTAATTTGTTGTCTAAACATAAATATATCATTCTTTAATGGAACTTCATCTAACCAAACGCCATCAAGTGATATACGTGCACAAGATGCATGTGGAATACGACAACGAATAGTGACTTTCGTACCACGTTTAAGAATACCATCAAGTGGAGATAAAATTTGACATTTATATTCAATAAATTTCCCAAAAGTCATTGGTAATATTTTACCTTTAATTAAATCATTTGGAAGTACTGTTACTCCTAATTCTATAACATTTTTTAATAAATTCATTGATGATATTTGTTTAGCAAAAATAATTAATGTATGAAAACCACTTTTATGTGGTGCAAATAAACATTGCCATACTTGACGACTAACATCATATTGAGTAAGACTAGTACTTCGAATATCATCTTTTATTGAACATGTTAATTGAATATCATCTGGTGCTTGAATTAATACTTCAGCAAATGATTGATTTGTATTATAAGTAACTATACTTGAAAAACGTGGAGAAATAATATTAAGATTATATATAAAATAATATGAATGTATATGTGGAAGATGAATATAATCATCCATTTTAATTGGTTTTGAAAGTAATTGCCATCGAGATTCTTCTGGTAAATGATTGTAAATCATATGTTCAGGATGGGTTAAAAAATAATGAGGTTTAAGATCTTTTTTATATTTATGATAATTATCAATATAACCAGTACCCCATGCTGAATCAATTAAATACCAATGATTATTATTTAATCGTATAGCATTCCATGTATGATTTATTTGAGAAAATGTTGGTTTATCTATTTTAAAAAAGAAATCTTTTGCATAACCACAAACTTTTTCACATGGAATATTAAGATTATCACATAATATTTTAAAAATTGAAGCATAACCTTCACATGTACTTTTACCAGTACGAAAAATATCTTCTGCTTTTTGATATCGATGACGACTATTAAAATCTGCATCAATATCATATTGAATATTTTGTGATATCCAATAATAAATAAGCCAAATACGATCAATAATATTTTTTTCTAATGTTAAATCTTTAATTAATGTAATTAAATGATCAATAGATGTAACTTTCCATGAGTCAACTTTCTCACGATAAAATGGATTATCAATTATCATTTGACGTTTTTGCCAAAATCTCGTATCAAAAGCATTTGGATCTGAAGGACTAATTTCAACAGGATAACAATTTCTTGTTAATTTAGTTACAATAGTATCTTCATGAATTTTATTATCGTCTTCATTTGTTTGAATTAAACCATCAGATGATTTTGGATTTTTAGGTCTCCTTTTTGAACTTCTACTTCTCGAACGATGATGACGACGAGAATGATGATATACAGGAACAGGACTAAGAGAACGATATGGATTAATATATGCTGAAGCATAATTAATAAACGGTGGTTTATCTTCAATAGATATCTTTTGATGATGACGACGATTATGTTCTAAACGAGATGGACTTGGCGTAGTTGTAGGAGTTTTTAATGTATAAACTGGTACTGATCTTGGTCGAGTTCGACTTAATGGTACTGGGGCGTGTACATCTTCGAGTTGAGTTGTTAAAGTTGAACTGATTACCATGCTTGTGTTTGTTTTTCTTGTGGTGTATGTATGTTAAAATTGTATAGAAACAAATGTCAATTTACATGTTTATGTTCAATTAAGAAATAGTAACGAATTGTTGTGTGTCAATAATATAACAAATAGCATTTTATGCATTGTCATGAATATTAAAGAGTGTGAAACAAAAGAAGAAAAAGTCTTAATCTAATTGACAAAAAAAAAATATTGTACATTACTTTTTTCGTTTTCACCTTAGGCTATGTAACCATAAATGAAATAAGTTGTCATTGTGCAAATGTTGGTGGGTGTTTTATGTTTTCATCAGAACAATATTGAATAAAATCATTTTTTAGATGTTATATATAGAATTATATGTATAAAAACAATAGTCCAAAATTACAATATCAGAAAAACTTTATTAAAAGAATAATACAACGTAGATAAATAATGACATTGTTAATGATGAAAAAAAGATTCATAAAAGACATAATTCAGTAGAGGAAAGACGTTCTCACCAGAGATTTAACGAAGACCAATGGAGAAAATATCTGAATACTTTATGAGAGTAATTAAAAAAACCTGTTAGCGTAACCCTCTCGGGATTGAAATGTGAATTTCACATGTGTTCTTTAATTTCATTATACTAATACAATATATGAAAAAGGGAAAAATATCTCGTTGACTATAGTTATTCTCCAAGATCGTCGATTGCCAGAGATACGATCTATCTTATTTAGTTCCGCTTTTCAAACAGAAATTTTTGCTTTGACTTGTTGCTATTCGCTCGTAATTTTTTTGTTTCGCATTTTATTTTTCTTATTTTAACATTATTATTATTCTAATTATTGATTTAACTGCTAAATCAGTTGGTTGTACATATTCATAATACCTACAACAGGTCTGTTATTTATCTCGATAAGTTCACAAACGCTGATATTGATTGTTTTTTAAAGTTATAACTTGATCATAGTTCCAGGCTTCTCGATTGAAAAGAGGGGTTCTTCTCTAAAAATTGTCACTCTGCCATATTTTTTAATAATACTTTCTGCGAGATTTTTAAAGTTTAGTTCAATAGAAAGCTCACGCATCTGCTGGAATAAAACTAAACCAAGCATGCTTTCTATAAAATTTCTTGCCGAAAGTTGATGTTACTTCTGACAAATTTCTTGTAAAAGGTGGATACTACTTCTGTCGAATTTCTTGCAAAAAATAGACGTTATTTCTGCCAAACTTCTCGTAGAAAGTCGATGATATTTGTACCAAATTTCTTGCAGAACATCGATGTTATTTGTGCCAACCTTATTGCAGAAAGTCAATGTTATGTCTGCCATTCTTCTTGCAGAAAGTTGATGTTATTTCTGCCATTCTTGTCGGAGAAAGTCAATGTTATTTTTACCAAATTTTTAGTCTTCCCACTACTTCCAAAAACAATCAGAAACCCTGATTAGTTCACGCTTTTTTATATTGACCATATGATATCTATAGCAAATAAATGCATCATTATTCATCATTCTTGACATGCATCTTGAATGTGAAAAAATTAAAAACTGCATTATTTAAAACATTCGCAAACGTAATCCAGCCGTTCAAATTTTAAGGAAGACTTCAGAATGTTTTAGAATAGTCAAAACCTTGTTTTTAATGCCGCTCAGCGTCTTTTTTAGTCGCTTAGGAACTCTGGAAAAAGAATCTGACGCCTATTATCTTCGAGAGCTAAAGTCTGTAATGTACATGAGGAGAGGGGAGGGGGAAGGTGCGAGGACGCAAAAGTTCGACTTAAAATTGACACTTAGTATTTTCTTCGAAAGTATACGTTAGTTTCATAAAATGGCTAATAGGTTACAGACGATTATCTTTACAACAATCAAATTGGAAAAAGAGACTGTAGTAAATTATCCTAATAATAGGTAAGGTCATAACAGATTCTAAGTAAAAATTGTGCTACATTAAGATATAAGATAAAGTATACCAAACAGTTCCAATCATTTTCCAACAACTACTTGAGAATTATAGTAAAAGTCCCTCCATTAAGTAAAGATGCTTCTTATCAAGTGCTTATTGACTTATATTTCGTATATATCAATATCACGTCATAAGTTAAAATGTTATTACGAACAAATATTTCGGTTACAATTAATATTTATTTCTAGTTTTTTTGACGTTTGATCATGATTATGGCTTATAACATTTGTTTTAATTCACACGCCTTATAGCTTTTTTTAAAAATATTTATCACTGAAAATCTGACCCAGAAAATAAAATGAATAAGACATATAGTGACAATCTAAAATCGAACTCTACAGGAAACTTATCGGTTGAAAATGATTTGGAACAAATAACTCGTTATATCTATATGATCGTTTATCCAATTATTTTTATTATTGGTCTTATCGGTAATCTACTTTCATCATTAATTTTCTCTACTACTGAATTAAGTCAAGCTTCATGTGGTGTCTATTTTCTTCTACTTGCTATATACGATTTAATTGGATTACTTGGTGGTCTTCATCACTGTTTAACAATTGGTTATCATATTCAAGTACCTAATGCTACTTACTGTCGTGCTCGTAATTTTCTTGTATATACATCTACAGATATGGTTTCATGGATGATAGTAGTTGTATCAGTTGATCGTTATCTTAAAGTAAAATTTCCTTTTAAAGCACGAATGTATTGTACACATAAATTAAGCGTAACTGTTGCATGCATATTAACGACCATTCTTATTTTAAAAAATATTCATCTTGCAACCGTTTTTATTGGAGATTTTACAGCTACTGCTACTGATAATTGTGGTCCAAATCCAAATTATCCTGCATATGTAATTTTTTTTGAAAATATCTGGCCATGGATTGATCTAACAACATTTGTGTTATTACCTTTTCTTATTGTTACATCTTGTAATATATTTATTATCAAAGATCTATATAAACGACGTTTAAAACTTGGTCTTCGTAATCTTGATCGTTCGTTAATTAGATTTCTTTTAATTAGTTCAATATCATTAATGATTTGTAACTTTCCTGTGTCAATAACAATTGTTATTTATCCATATATTTCAAAAAATAATGGTAAAAGTGGCCATAATGATAAAGTTGCGTTTGTATTTAATCTTTTACGGCTACCATCTTATGCATCATTAGCATTCAATTTTTATTTATATTATTATTCATCGAGTATATTTCGACAGCAAGCAATACTTTTATTTAAATGTCTATTTCGAGTTCAAATAGAATTTAATAACATTAATATACGTACAACAGAAACAAGCCGAATGCAAAGTCCGAAGCAATTGACTTTAACAGAAGTATCTGATGGAAAATAAATTTTACATAGTGAAATATATTCTCATTCGAAACTGTACGACCTCTATCGAAACTTTCTTATTATTTGTCAATAAAAAAACTGAAAATAAAAGAGAAATGAGACAAGTTTTTTATCAACAGATCTATTTTCTTTTTTTGTTTTTCATATTAAAGGTGTTTGCATATTCATTTCGAATTTCATTTTGTTTCGCTTGAGTAAACATTAGTTCGTGCTTTTATTTTAAGAAATGAATTTCTTTCTAACAATCATTCTTATTTCATCGTTGATCCGTAAGTAAAATTTAATAATCATTTTACCTCTAATGATAATTTTATTTAGATTCTATTGAAGCTGGTCAATGTCAAATACATAATCGACCAGATTATTTGTCATCAATTTCGAACAAAAATGATGAAAATTCAAATAGATTAACAGTATCAAATTTTGCTAATAATTTAGCAACAATTTTAGGTTTATCACCAGATCAGGTAGATAAAAATTTTCTATCATGAACAATTATAGATTTTGATTTGACTCAATAAAATAGACAGAAAACCAAGAACAACCTATGTTTTATTCAACACGTCCACTCGAAATACCATCATCAACATGGCTATTTCATATTGAAGGACTTGATCGATTATCTAATACTGGTATTTCATTACATGATGTAAGTAAAACATGGCTTATCTATACATTTAATGATGTATTTTGAAATCTTTTAGAACGGTGAATTTGACATTGATTCACTTTATTCAAAGTTAAGACGAACTGGTAATGCTGATGCTTTAGGTATTGGATCAGTTATGATTGTACGTATTTATTATGCTTATAACGGATGATTGGAAAGCTTATAGACAAAAACATTTGTTCAATTTTCGACCTGTTAGAAAGTATTTCCGACGAGTCAAAAGCTACAAGTTACGATGTTCATTTCGAATATGAGCTTAGAAATTTTGTTCGAAAGTGATGAAGTAATCTTTGAGAAGCCTAAAAACTTAGTTTTGTGTTAAATTTGTGCGGCGACATTTTTGGTGAACATATTTATTCATTTTAGTCCGTTTGAAAGCATATCAGACGAGTCAAAATTATAGATCACAATCAAACTTTTATATCTATTTTTGTTCAAAGGTAGTGAGGAACTTTTTGAAAGACGTGAAATATTATTTTTTAATAGTGAGCCAACGGGTTTTTGATTACGCATAACTTCTTTTTCAAACATTCTAAAAATTGTTGGAGTCAATCGTTTTGTAGAACGAATACTTCTCTACAAAATGTGATATTGAACTAACTTCTAACGTTTACCCAAGTCAGACCCGAAGTACTTACTCCTTTCTACGCAAAAAAGTTGTCGGTTTTTGAAAAATGAAAATTTAGGAAAAACGAAAATTGAGATACCTTATCAAAAAGTACAAAAAGACTTCGAATAGCAGATTTTGTAGGATAGCTTCTGATCTATGAGCTGATATCTAAGTAAAGATCTCAAGTTTTAGTTTGGAACAGAGACTGAAACGGGGACGGCTTTTCGCTCCCTACCTTGCCCCGCCGCGAAAACCTTTTCCTCTCCCCGTCTTGTCTTCACAAATTATTTTTATCACTTTAGTATGCAGCTTGAGTTTGAATGTGTGTGTCGCCGAAGAGAAGACAGCCACACCCAAATATTAGCTGCTATTGACTCTATAGCCACCCTACATCTGCCTTCGTTACGAAGATAGAATTTCGTAGCGCAGAGTCTAGAGACTTGTGGAGTCATGTTTTTCTAACTTCGATTTCGACTTTGGATGGTTTCAAAATGACACCGACTTCGAAAAATTCCGACATTTTTTCATGTTGCATGTCGACAGCTTACATGTGGAACGATATTATATAATGCGAATGGATAGATATGTGAGTGCTCGCCAGAAAAGAAAAACTGGTTGAATCTCAAGTTTTTTTTTGTCAATCATTGATACTCATAATGAGTGCCAAGATCTCATCATGAGAAGAAATCTTAAATTTTACAAAAAAAAAGAAGACCATTCTATTAAACTAGTGCCGATAAAAACTCGAATACAGATGAAGTTTGGGATAATTTCCTCCGAGTTTTCATCAACAACGATTTTTTAAGGAAAACTTTGTTTTATTGAAAGAATTTTGTCAGGTCAAGAAGTGACTGACAAAAAGATCAAGTTTTGATTCAGAAGAGTGGTTTGAAAAGCGTGTGAGGATGATGAAAATACATCTAATTCAGTGGTGCTAATCTTTTTTAGAAGAGTAACTTTTGAAAGTTAATCTGGTGTAGATACCTTTTGTTCTATTTGTGCATTTGATGTTATTTTGCTATTAGATTGACCATTTTCGTTAACTAAAAATTCCGATTATGAAAAAAACAATTCTACACGGAAAAGGATAAAGTAGGTTTTTCAGACCTCTTCTAATCTGCATCAATTCCGACTCCAACTCCGATTGAGTTGTAGTCAGGTTTTGAAGTTCGATGCAAATCTCTAGCAGAAACATCTAGAACACTTATTTATATTAATTCCGAGTTCGTGACTTTAATATCAACTTTTTATAATGGGATTCTAAGTCGGGGAAATTCGTTGGAAATAAAACTTATCCCCAATCTGCCTTGTCCCGCCACAGCCTCACACCGCTCCGATCTATCAAAAACAGTCCTTGCTCCGATCCCCCGCCTTGTTTCCTCGCCCCGTTTCGGCCTCTGGCTTCGAATCGCAATAGGGAAAATACAAAAATTCTTCATCCAAATTAATTTTTTGGATTTTTTAAAGATTATTTTTATTACTCTCGAACAAAAACTCAGACAAAATTTCTAAGTCCATATTCGAAAATACTTTCTATCGGGGTGGAAAGTGAACAGATATCTTGTCTAAAACCTTGCCGATTACTCCTTATAATGTCAATAATTAATTTATTTCAGAGTTCGAAATCAGATTTGAATAATTTTGAACAAGCACTTAAAGATCAACTCTCACGAATCAATGAACAAGTAAATGAAATATTAAAATTCTATTAAAACAAATTTTTAGTTTTTTTCATAGACTTCAGTTAACTATATTGTCATTGTGTGTGATCATTGTCATGATGATAATGCAACTCAAGAATTACAAAATCAATTAAAGAAAGCCATTGACAAAGTAAGTCTACTGAACAAAAAAAACAAAAGAATTTATTTGAATTCAAATCTAAATAGATTATTGCAAATGATCCTCAAACATTAGCTATGACATTAACAACAAAACAAAGTGCACGTATACGTCGAGCACGAGCAGCTGAGGGAGTAGTAAGTTTTGAATTTTCTATTTTCCATTTTACGTATAAAAAATACTATAAAATATAATTAGAGTGCAAATGAAACAAATGTAACAATTGCAGAAATGTATTCCGATAATTATCCAGTAATGTTTAATTTATTTTTTTGGACATCATTGGCTTTAGCATTAGTTGTTATAGCTATAGTCTATGTATTCTTAACATTAGATCCAGGAGCGGATACAATTATTTATCGTATGACAGCACCAAGATTAAAAGTTGATTAAACTATTTCTATTTCCCTTAGTTTTTTCTTCATTTAATAGCATTTTAATTTCTTCTTCTTTTTTGTCTTTTCCTTAATTCTTATTTATCTAACAAACCTATAAATTCGATGTGCAACTTGAACTATTTTTTTTATTATTTATCTATGTTTTCTGTTCGTCTGTGTTTATGTTATTCATTTGATTTTGTCATGTGTGTTTGTATTTGATTAAAGAACCAACTTGTCATTCCATATAAATATACCTATTTCAATTTTACGGACTAAAAATGTTTATTTACATAAAAATAAAAAAAACAATCACAGAGAAGTAGTTTTAGGGAGTAAAGTTTGACCAAACGATTGATCGAAAGATTGAATATATTGTGCCAATGAAATGCGTAGATCGAGTAAAGCTAAAGAAAAACGAAATTTATTTTATAAATAAAAAAAGAAAATTATTCGAATTCTTTTGACTGAGATGAGTTTCACCTATGTATGTTCGAACAAATCTTGAATTCATAAACGGTTGCTTTTCAATTAAATGATCTTCTGTTAGTTGTCATCTAATGCCCATTTCAGAAGAAAAGGCGAGTGAGTACTTGTTTTTGAATAACATTTGATAGAAACAACATAGAACACTGCGATTTTCACCCTTGGAAAAAAGATATCTAGTTGCATCGAATTTTATACTATAGATTTTTCTAAGATGTTTTCTGGATTTCTTTTTAATCAAATTTATGAAAAAAAAATTTCGAAAAAACGAACCCATGAATTTTCATCTCCTCTTTCTATAGGTGAGACTTACAATTATCTATCCAGTTTCTATCAAAAATGATTTTAAAAAATTCCTACCCGTTTCTTTTCTTTTGAAAGGGGCGTTAGCTTCTCTATCCAAGGTAGCTAACTGCTTTTTCTTTTTATGTAAGGTAAGATTCGTCCTATAAATCTTATATTTTGGTTTATTCTTCTATTTGATCGATATTTTTTGTAAAGAATAGGATATGGTCCATAACCTTTGCAATACTATCACATATAATTTCTACTAATTATGCAAAATCTCCGTCAAATTTAAAGTATCGCATGTGTGACAGCAATAGTTATTCTAAAAAAAAGTACTTATTCGTGTTAGTTCACTAGTATAATGACACCCTAAGAAAACGATGGAAGCTATTGATACTATTTAAATTAATAAGGTAAATCAACGATTTAAGATACTTTTATAATTTTTCGTTATAGCTTATAGATAGGCACGTGTATCTAATAGCAGAAAATTAAGTATTATATATAAATTTTTCTATTAAGGCCAATACGCGATCCTTTTTATGAGTTCGAAAGCTGAATTATTATAGAAAAAAATGTGAGAAATTTAAAGAAATTAACATATTTAATTCTTAAACAGAATGTTTTAATACATGCTTAAAACAAAGATCCATACTCACAATTTTTCAATTTAGTTTATGTCAGATCGTTGATCTCAACTGTAATATTCAAGTTTGAAAAACTGTTTACCAACATGTGAATATTTACTAATACGAATAAAATCCGAAGAGTTAACAAACAAAAATTTGAGATCAATACAATATAATTAGTCGATGTTTATATCAAATCGTAGCAAAGAATGCCTTTTAACTTCGCTTTCGAAAATCTTTATAAGCAGAAGACAACAGTTTCCTGTTTGTGTATTTTCTGTTTTTTATGTTGAACATTTATGAATAGTCTTTTCCTTAATTTGCTGACGCATGATTTAAAATGACTGCTCATCTTGCTATGATCATCGTATTTTATCATCATCTATTAGTTCTATATTGCAGTGGCGGATCCAGGAACTTTTGAAGAGGGTGGCGGATAAGAGAAAAATGAAGTCCAATAGGCGGAAGGGGTGGCGGTTTAGACAACAATGTAAGATATTCATGGAAAATCACTAGGAAACAACGTGAAGTTAAGTCCAAAGGGGGTGGCGGTCGCCACCTCCTGGATCCGCTACTGCTATATTGCTGTGACTATCATTGGAGAAAAGTAATCAGAAACAAAATCATTCAAATTGAAGATTTCATTAGTAATATCCATATGTAAGAAAATCCTATATTTTGATGAAATTGAGTCTTGTACAAAATTATAAATATTGTCGACAATTCATAATCGGACGTCAATTTTTAATAATAAAGCTTGATTTCGGTCAATCTAAATACTTGCTAGCATGAAAAAGTAGTCAAGTTTTTTTCAAAAGAACTAAAGAAACGAGATTTGCCCATCGCAGAGACCGAAAATGAACCCGGCTTTAACGGTTCGATTCAGTTTCTGATTCACAGCATGATAATAAGTCATCCTCCAGTCTAAAACAGAATACCTGGACGATGCATAATCAACATTTGAAATAGATGTAAAATATGTTCATTGCGTTTAGGTGATATATGATGTAATGCTTTAGCAACAAGAATCGCCATTTTCTTTAAAATAAAACGAAAACAAACAATAATTATTAAGGAAATCATATCTACTAGACCTCATCGATTGTCGAAAAATTGGAATGACAAATTCCTTCAATCATTTGTAATACACCTAACGAATTGCCTATTTGAATACGTGCAATTAAAGCTAGTACCCATGTCCACGTTAACCATGGATAATTATGAACAGCATTCATTGTATAACTATATACTTCACGAGTTTTATTCTAAAATAATCACATACAAAAACAAAATTTAATATAAATAACTTACAGTCAAAAACATTGATAAACATGTTAATAAATGTATATCCATTGTATAATTTGAATCAGTTGATTTTGGCATTTCTTTTAAAGCAGCTGATGTTATTCGATTATCTGATATAATCATTCCCATAGCACAAAGTGCAGTTACTGCACTTGAACAAACAGGTTTAGTTGAATAGCTAAAAACAAATGAACTGTGTTGTTTTTAATTTAATAAAAAGCAAAGTAAACCTTTTAAAAAGATTTTTAACTGCTGTTTGTGGATCCATTTTACGTTGATAAAGCCCAAGAAAAGTTAATAAAATTGAACGATCTTTATTTGATGTTGTTGAATCATCAATAACACGTTTTAAAACTGGATTTAACAAAAAAAGAAATTATTTTTAGAAAATTATTTTTCAAATATTTAAAACAAACTTTCAATAGCATCTGTTTGTTTATTCATCTTTTCATAAGCTATTGCTAACCAAAGAACATCAAGTAAGGTTATTTTACTATCTTGTAAAATAAATGCATCTAATTGTACATCACCACTTCGGCTAGCAACAAAAAACGAACAAAAACAATGATGTAATAATTTAATCTTTGTTTCATACCATTTAACACGTGCATAATCATTTCGTATCATTTTTGATAGTTCACTTTGTTGATTCATATAAGTCAATGAACTAAATGAAAGAGCTGTTAATGAAATATCTGTGAGCTTAAAATGCAAAAACGCGATATTGCTGCTATTCGCACTCTCACAAGGAGAATTGCCAAGATGTCGGTCACGATATGTAATAGGTTACCAGTAGAGTCTGTCTATTTGATTCCAGACCCAGTGGACTCTAATAGTAAGGATGTCTGTCACGGCCTGTAGGAGAGTGGGTTCAAATTTCTAACCTATGTACTTTAACATTCCTTGTAGATCACGTTTCACAAAAAGAAAATTAGAATTTATTAATTACAGTTGATAAACGTTAGCAGCTTGAATAAAACGCTGATTAAATTCATGAATAATGCCCAGACATTGTAAAGCATTTACATCTCTTGGATTTCGTTCTATAAATAATCTTGAATTAAGTAATTTAAAGTAAGAAAACATGAACTTACGAATATATTTAGTTAACGCATCGGCTGCTCGTTGATTACCATTTAAATAATTGATTGAATATCGATAAGTATCACTTGATTTATTAGTTGGTTTAATAAGAAGATGTGCAATTGCTTTTCCATAACCATATAAACCTTGAGACTAAAGAGAAAACGAAATTTTTGTGTATTGAAAACATATTATTTGCTTGGGTTTTTACGTGATTGGAAAGATCAACACAATGACGATAGAGGTCAATAGATTCATTATAATCAATCTTTTCAGCTATAAGTGCCTAAAATATTTTTATTTAGTTCAGAATATATTTGAAAAAAATATTCTGTACTTGTCCAATCCAAGCTAATGAATACATTGGATCAGTCTGCTGAGCTTTGGAAAATGCATTATTTGCTAATTGTATATTATCATGACGATAATAGAGAAAACCCAAATTTGTATATACTGTAGCTGTTCGTTGTAATTGTAGTGACTTAAAAAAACAATGTTGAGCAAAGCCAGATTCATTGAAGGCTATAAAATATATTTAAATTATTTTTATTCCCTTTTTTATTACGATCTGCAACAACAAAGTTGATACACATTCCACAAAAATAATTAAAGATGCTCTATCCATGTAAACCTTAACGAGTGTATCAGTTCGATCGAAAATAAAGCAGTCTTTCTGTAAGCATTTACTAGAATCTATCCAGTTGGTCTCGGACCTGATCATGCCCCACATTCGAGATCGACTCAACGAAGTCATACTGTAAAAGTAACAGCCAGGCATGTCTTGACTATTATAACATCTTTTTCAGGACTGTCTGAAAAATGTTTAGAGTGTGTTAGTCGTCGGAGAATAAAAATAATAGATCAGCAGTGGACGATATGACCCATCAATCGAGAAATCGTTCCAGTTTGAGGAGAAATGCTTTACCCCACACAAAGTCACGCAGAATAAGGAGAAATGGAAAGATTACCATATAGATATACATATATATATAGACATGTATCGATGACTTATCACTGTTCTACGTATATTTCACTTCTCCTTATGCATCATTCATTACTGCCGACAAAGAAAGAAATCGTTTATACATTTCTCCTTGAAACTTTTCCATTTCTGCTGTGTAAAATCCATTTCTCCTAGAACTTCACCTTAACGTGAAAAAAGATCCTATTCTGTTGAAAAATGTTGCACATCTGCTGGAGAAAATCCATTTCTACCAAAATTTCTCCTTATAGTGAAAAAATAATTCTTTCATTTCTCCTTATAATGCAATAATAATCTTATCGATTTCTCCTTATAACTGATACATTTCTCCTTGTGAGGGTAGAAATGGTTGAAGGATTTCTCGTTGTTGAATTTCGTGAATGTCTGTTGGTGATTGATGCGAGAGAATTAATTCTCTTTCTTAAAGAAGCGTTTCTGCTTGACTTTATGTGGGTTGAAGCATTTCTGCTGTAAATGGAACAATTTCTCGATTTTTGGGGATGTCGTCCAGCCCTCTAATAGATAGTGTCTAATATCTTCGAAACGACTATTGGGTACAGACTATGAGATTTTTTGTTGCAATTAAGAGCATTATCCGGATTGAAAAATGTTAAATCCAGCGGAGTCGAGGATTCACAGACCAAGATATAATTCATAAGAAACTAATTGAAGAGATCTGCTTAATAAATATTTATTCTTCCTACCTAAACTCTATGATAACCTAAATTTATCAAAAATTAAAAAGATAGTTGATTTGTACAACTAATAAGATTTACAAAACACGAGATCAAGCAGATCTAGTTTCTATACACGAGTATATGGGAAATTTCAGGCAAAACTGGACATACCTGCGTGTCATTTGAAATTGATTATTTAGAAGAGTTATTTTTCTGAATAAGTGCTTTTAGCGTAGACGTATGCAAAAAGGTTGCTTCGTTCAACTGACTACGAATGAAAAAACTAATTAGCAAGTATCTCTCTAATCATATGAGAAAAGAAACTGAAAACTTGACGATAGACTCTACAGCACGCATCGCATCTATGCTACAATTTTCAGCAAAATCAAACTCAAAAACCTTCCTCTTAAACACCGGTTTTCTAGAGATCCGGTAAAGTTTCGAAACAACAGTGTTTATCATATCATCATCTAGAGACTCTGAAAAATGATTTTTATCGCTTGGGATCAGTTTTGAACTTCTCATTCGGTTATAAAAGTATTTTTCCATTTGTATATTCGTACTTCGTCACATTGCAAACGAAAAGTCAATCGTTTTCTTTTTAAATTCTAGGTATGCTTTGAAGACACTTTGATAGAGATTTTATCACTTCAAGGGTTGTCTATAGAATGTACTATAATCGAGCTAGACTATAAAGCAATTAATAAACTTTCTTCGATCTATAAAAACTTCTGATTTACCTGGATGTGCTGCAACAACTCCAAGTGTATTCCATAATAAATGATCATTAGGTTTTAATGAAATTGCTACTTTTATATATTCCAATGCTAGCATGAGCAACCGTTGATCATCTGAATTATAACGAGCTTGAATATAAACGCATTGAGCAAGACATGACCAATATACTGCTGAACGTGATTTAAGATGAATTGCTTGCATAAAACATCTATTCAAATAAAATAAACATAATAAACGAAAAAATATTCTATATATACTTTTGTGCACGTTGAAGAAGATCAGTTTTTTTCAAAACAATACAACCATCAACATCTTTTATTTTATTTTCATCAAATTTTTTTGTTAATGATGGTAATCGTATATGAATTAAATCATCATTAATTGGATGAAGCAGCATACATGCATCACCATATTTTTTCCATAAACATGCATAATTAGATTGTAAACATAATGCATCATGAAATGCCTAGTATTAAAAAAAATAAAAGATCTATTAACAATAAAAAAAATTCAATATTCTTATTTACTGTAAGTGATTGCTGAACATGAAAAACTGCTAATTCATCTTTATAAAGTCCTGTTTGTTGAATTGCAAGATAAAAATGAGCTTCACCTTTGCCTGAAAAAAAAACAATTAATAATACAATAGAAATTGTTTTTCAATAATTATTAAACCTTTTCTAGCTAAAATATATTTTGGTGATTGATCAATAGCTTTATCAAATAATGAAATAGCTTCATTATAACGACCAAGTAATGTCATAGTAAATGCTTGTCTTGTCAATGAATAAAGTGTTTCACGTTCTAATGATGCTGCTTTACTATAACAACTTAATGCTGTTTTTAAATTGTTTGTATGTAAATGTGCATCACCTAATGCTGACCAAGTAGCACTTGCATATAGAAGAAACATAAAAATTTTATTTTAAAAATTAAAACACAAAAAAACATTCATTTTTTGTTTTGATTTACCCAGCTACAGGTGGACGTCGAGAAATAATTTGTAACGCTTTAACAGCATTATGTACATTATTTATTCGAAGAGAAACAAGTCCATAACGAAAATGTGCCCAAGTTTTTGTATTATTCATAACAAGTATACGTTCAAGGATTTCTAATGCATCATACTAAATCAAAAAAAAAATAAATAATCAAAACACGAACGAAAAAATTTATAATCTACAATTTGTTCAGCTTGAAGAAGATTATCAACATAATTTATTTGTACACTTTCAATATTTTCATTTAATTCAAAAGCACGTTTTGAATAAGCTAATGCTTCAGATAAACTTTTTTCTATTTCATTATAATATCTACTTAAACATGCATAACTTTCCCAAAAATATTCATCAAGTTCAATAGCCTAAATTAGATTTAAAATAAATTATAAAAATGAAAAATTTATTTTCTTTTTTTAAATAAAATATTAACTTTATTAAATGCATATTTGCATTGATCTTTATCAAACATATCATTTGAATGTTGTATAGATAAATAAGCTTGACCAACTGATAACCATCCTTGAACAGTTAACTCAAATAATTCTTCATTCTCATTAGCTTCTTTTAATGCACTTTGAACTCTAAAAGATTTTCCAAAATAAAATTCAGAATTAATTTATTGAAGTATAAAATACATTTTGAGAAGTTCACTTGGATATTCTTCAATTAGAGCTAATTGAAGACGACAAGATAATTCTTGACTTGGATTTAAATGATCTTTTATTATGTCGTAACATGTACGAGCATCAGTTGGTTTATTCAAATTTATATAAGCATTGAATTGACCATAAACTCCACGATCATGAAATTTATTTGATACATTTCGAACCTATTTAATCAAAACTTATTGTCTACAAAATAATCTTCGAAGATTAAAAAAACAAACTATTTTATCAAATAATTGAATAGACTTTTCATATTGACCTAGATCATAAGTAATCATAGCTAAACAAAGATCTATTAATGACTCAACTGATGATAAAACATCTTTCACAATAAAATTTGTCAATTTTGTTCGTGCTAAATTTAAAAAAAACTTAATATTGATCTAGCATTTTTAACTAACTTACCAATACTAGTCATGTCTGTTGTCTCTTTAATAATATGTAAATGAGCATAGCAAACCATTTTAAGAATAAGCACAAGATGATGACCATCACCTAAAAAACTAGGATTGAACAACCATAAAAAAACACGTTAAATATGATTTACCATCTTCATGATTAAGATTAACTAATGATTCAAGTGCATTTGAATATTTTCCATTTCGAATTAAAAAATAAGCTTTACCACAAATCGATGGTGCTGATATTTGATTATTCTCATCTGAACGAATACGATTTAATGCATCAGTTAATTTTGCTACAGGAGCTAATGAATCATCTAACAAAGAAATCACAAATAAGAAACTAAGTTTTTAATACACATCTTGTAGGATTAGAATGTGAAACATGATGTAGCTGTTCTTGATAATCAAAGGGATATTGTTTTATACAATATGTTTTGGAACATATATCTTCATCATCCTTTTACTCAATCCTACAGAAATGTAATAAGAAAGTAGTTTAACGAGACGTTATTGATATACGGTCTGTGATCGTATATCAACAACGTCTGTAATATGGAGAAGTGTTTCTAAGTTGTCTGTCACGATTTACGACGGAGAGGGATACATTCAAATATTTTTGTTCCAATACTTGAACATTTATTGTAGATCATGTTTCACAAAATAAAATTTTTAAATTATTTTACATATTTGTGGTAATAATGATTCAAGAACAATAATAATTATTGTATTTTGAGCTATTGTCGAGTTTGGAAATAGTGTCAAACATTCATTACAATAATCAATAATATCTGAACTAGAACGACCCATCTACGAAAAATTTAACAGTATAAAATTAAATAATTTCAAATATTTTTTTTACTTGACAAATTGATTTAATATATTTTTCATAGTAATTTAAACGTTGAATATTATCTGAACTACTTTGTGAAAGCCAAAAATAGTTACTACTTAACTAGAATTAAGAAAATAGTTGTAAAGAAAAAAAAAACTTTTTTTAAAACTAACAAATTCATTTAAATTTGTTGAAAGTGTTTTTATCGGTGATAGTATATCAGTAGACAATAATCGATAAAGTTGTTCATCTTCTTGACTTAATTGAAGACGTTTTTCTTCAACAATATCTTTACAAAGCTCAGCTAATTGTATTCGATATGGATTATTTTGTTCATTTGTAGTTGTTGATTGACATTCGATTTGCTTTTTTAAATATTCAATATATTTTTTTGCATGATCGAAGAATTTTGTTGGATCACTATTAATTAAAAATTAGACAAATATTTCTCATTTTTCTTTTTTAACATACGATGCACGAGTCAATGAACATAATTTTCGATATGCACTAGTAATATCAATTTCGCTAAGAAATCCTGGTGCACGTTCACCTAATTGTATCATACCCTATCGAAGAAAATATCAATATAAAGTTTCTCAATTAGCAAAACAAAAACACAATAAATTCTACTTGATAAGCAACAGATTGATTTTCATCAAGTTCAAATGCTTTATTCAAAGCAGAATGTGCTTGATGAAATTGTTTTAATTCTTGTGCACAAGCAGCAATCATAATCCAACCTGTATAACATGTTTTATCTTTCTTAATAATTGCCTATAGTATCAAAATACGTATATATATAAATATAATAGTGAATAATCAAATAAAAAAACACATTACTTCACATAATTTCAAAGCTCCAACATGATCCTTTTGATTAATAAGCTCTCGAGCTTGTTTTAATTGTACTTTGATTTCTTTAGCTATCGCAGCTGTATCTCCACTTGTCGATGCTGCCATTTTTGAAGAAATATATTATATCTATAAAAACTAATGGTTACAGAATTTTTGGTTTCTTAATGGTTTTTTGTTTTGAATATAACAAAAACAAAAGAACTATACAAATATATATACTATATCGGACTTAAATACTTTGATGGGTAATTTTACATTCTGAAGAATTATATTGACTTTTAACACATTGAACAATCCATAGTCGTTCAAACCAAAATGTTGTTTGAAATGTTTGTAATTCTTGATCAGATTTATACGAATCAAGATCAATATCAAGATCAAGTTTGATTATATTCGGCATTTGACCAAGTAACTCAGCCCATTGATGTCCATTAGCATATGCTTGTAAAGTAGTCTTAACAGATAAATGATGTATTTTTGAAAAACGTCGAATTAATTCAAACATTGGCTGAAATGTTCCAATAGTAACATCTATTTTAACATAAGTTATATTTGATATAAGTTTGGAAAGGCCATTACAATCAAGACATGTTAATGCATAAAGATGAAAATATAAAGCACAACGAATATTTATTTGTATGTAATCAAAAGAAATTTTATTTATAAAATGTTTATGAAGAAGAGCAAGAATTTTAAATGGAGGATTTGTTTCAATAAAAATGTTTGTAAGATAATTATTTTTATTAATTGAGTAATTAAAATTATTAGCAAGTACAAGTTTACAAATTGTTTCATTTAATGAACAACAATAGTTTTGTTCAAATAGACGAAGTGAACGTAGAGATGGCATATTTGGTATGATTAAAAATAATGATTCTAATTGTTTTTGATTAAGTGCAATAAGTGAAAGAAATCGAAGATTTGAAAATTGAATCAAATTGAATGATTGAATAAACGAATCAATTACAAATTCTGAATAACACGATGAAGAAAAACAAGAAATTATTTTAGATGATTCTCCTAAATCTATAGCCATTGTTTGATCAATTATTTTCGGTACAATATGTTTTAAAACACGTTTATATTCAATTTTATTTAAATTATTAAAATTTAGTTTCATTGGTATATTTCGAATTATTTCATTTAAATAATAATTAAGTCCATAAAATGAATGTATAATATTAAATGAAGATAAATAATCCAATATTTCTCGATAAATTTCATTTGGTAGATCATGAAATTTTGTTACATATGATGATTGATCTAATCTCTCAATATAAAATAATTATATCTCAATAATAATACTATTAATAATCATACTTATTATTTCTTTCTCATAAGCAACTTTTAATCGTTTTACAATAATGTTTTTCTTTCCAGTTGAATTTAATTGACGTTTTCTTAGTTCATTTTGAATTTGACGATAAGATAATTCATTAATGATATTTATTTGAGAAGAAAACATAACTACAAAAGAAAACATAGGCAACCAAAAAAAGTTTTCACATGATGTTGTTTTTTGTTCTAATAAAAATAACTTTCATTCGTATAATTTCTCTTTAAATTTTTCATTTTGAGAATTTCATCAAGAGAACAAATCATTAATTTTATCCCATGACTAATCATCATATTTTTCTTTTCTTTTTTATACAGAAAAAAAACAAAGATCTCAACATGGTAATAATATATCAAAAGAGAATGTCGAATCAACACAAACATAAGAACTTTGTTGTTTGTTAAATATGTATGATTTGACATAAGTAAAAAGCGAACAATAGCGAATAGTTGTTTCTTTTACATCGCATAGACAAATAGAAAAAAAAATGAACTACACACGCATGCACACAGCATTTCAAACTACAAGTATAAATAACAGAGAGACCGATGGAATGAAAGAAAAAAAAATGAGTATAATGATAACAAAGCAGGAACCAAGAAAGAGAAAAGATCAACAAATAAATTTTCTTCAAATAAATGAAGTATCATGATGATATTTGTTGTTTATTTAAAGTTCATCGTCAGTTGTCTTTTGACTCTTCTTCTTTGATCCATTACGATCATAACCTTGAAGAGGTTCAGTAGCTTCTTTAGCTAAATACTTGATAAAGTCATCAACTTCACGTCCACCCTAAAAGTATTTCATTCAAACAAAAACATATATTATATGTCAGTAAACAAAACAAATATAAACTAACGTCATATCTGCGTGGATTATCTTTGCTATTCTTCGGTGCGAAATAGATTGTTGGAAATCCTTGAACATCATATGGACTTGGTACATCATTCTCGGTAGCATCCATTTTAGCACTAAAAGGCAACATATTTATTAATAAGAAAATTCAAATATTTTTTTTTTTAATCTTACATAACAAGGTTTGATTCTTTTCGTAATTTCTTAGCTAATTCATCGTATTTAGGAGCAAGTGATTTACTAAAAAGAAAGAGCAAAACGTGAAAATTGAATTTTTTCTTTGTGATGAAAATTAATTCATCTTACCAATGACCGCACCTAGAAAAATAAAAATAAAAAAATTTTAATTAAAAATAAACATAAAATTTTTTATTTTACCATGGTGCATAAAATTCAATAAGAACATCTTTTGATTTATCGTTAACAATTTCATTAAAATTCTTTCCTACAACAACTTTAACATCATCAGTTTGTTCAGGAATAGGTTGAGATTTAACATATGGTTCAAGATCATTATTAGCAACTTTACGAGCAAAGTCTTCAAGAAGTTCAAAAGTAAAATCTTCTGACATTTTATATTTTTCATCAGCAGCACCACGGCCAAGAACATATTTTACATCTTTTTTAATATCATCAATTCCATATTCATTTAATTCATGACGAAATTCTTCAGCATTGCTTATAGCAAAACCAACATTAACATTTTCATCAGCTAATTTTTTCGCAATTTTTAATATACGATTACGAACATAATTTGTACCCTTAGTATCACGAACATAATCAACATTATAATAAACAACAACAGTTGGTTTAGAAAAGTCAGCAGCATTTGATGGCGTACGATGACCGACGAGACCATGACTAAAAGAAAAAAACATATATATATGAGGTGCCGTTAATTCAAAATTTTAGCAAATTTTTGTTTTCAATTTATTTAGTGTCATTGGATAGAACACATCGAACTGTCTATGAAAAACTACTTTTCCAATTTTTGGTAACAAGTTTTTACGGAAAATATTGGACAGAGATCAAATTCTAAATATCATAATTAGAGTTGGCCATTATTACAAATATGTAAATATTGAATTTATTTCGCATTTTGTAGAATATTATAAGGGTTATATTCTGATTCTGCAGATGAAGTTAACAAAATATTCTTATGTACATAATTTTTTGCTGAAATTTGTCTGTAGAATTAGGAAATAGTCCTTATAATATGCTACAAACTAGAACAAAAAATATTTCTATATTTCTGATAATGAACGACTCTAATCATGATATTTAGAATTTAGTCTTTTTTTTCAATATTTCGAAGAAAAAATTGTTTAATTTCATGAAATTTTCAGTTTTCGACACTATATTGTGATCATTTAGAAAAAAAAGATGAAAAATCTTACATTTTTTCTTGAATATATGTTTTAATTTTATTACCAACTCCTTGAACAGCTGAAAAAGTATCTTCAAATTTTGATTGTAATCGTTTTGGTTGATGTATAACAATTTTACTAGACAACAAAAAGAAAAAAGAAATTTTTATGTCAAACAAAAAAGAAAGAAATTTCATACTTTAAATGGTCAACTTGATCAAGAATTTCTTTCGATGTTGTATAAGCAAAACGAAATTTTTCAGATAATTGATCAGCAGCTTTAACGAGATCACTTTTTAATGAATGAGTATCACTTTCGAAATAACCTATTTTAATTATTATTGAAATTACTGTTTTTCATTTTATTTCTATAAAACATACCAATGATACTATGATCGAAATGATCTAAAAATTTTTCATAATCAGCTAATGTTTCAAGTACACGAAATGATGGACCAGCTTTTGATCGCATTGTTGAAACGATGCCATCTAATAAAAATAGATTGTTTTTTCTTGTTCAATCAAATTAGTTTTTAATCATAAACATACCGGCTTCTCGTGGACCATTATAATCTTCAGAAAATTCACCATTTTTAAAGATTTTCAATGCTAAATTATAAAGGAATTATTATTATTATTGAATAAAATTCTTCAAAAATACAACATACTTGGATAACCACTAACACCATATTTACTACAAACTTTGGTTTCAACAGTACAATCAACCTGAAGAGAATAAGAACTTTACTATATCATTGATTGAAATCTATTTTATTAACTTTAGCTAATGAAACAGGTGGATCATTCTTTAATAATAGTGTAGCAGCTTTTTCATATTCTGGTGCAAGTCGTTTACCTTTCGAGAAAAAAAAAATAATCATCTATTTACATATAAATTATTATAAAATAACACTTACAATGACCACACCATGGTGCATAAAATTCAACAAGCATCATATCATGTTGTTGAATTTTTGTCTCAAAATCACTATCAGTAAAAACAAGTACATCACTTGCTGTTACAAATGTTGTTAGACCAACTAATAGAGAAATGAAGAGAACAGTTTGCATTTTTGTTCGATCAATAGAGAATCAATGAAGTTTGATCTATAAGATTACAAAAAATCTGTACAAAAATATAAATATAAAAAGCAATAATAACAGAGCAATATCATCTGTCTCTTTGTAGTTAAATTTTCTATCAATAGAATTGCAGCAGCTCGCTGACGAATATAGACCACGAAAGGAAAGAGAAGAGCTGTAGACCTGGAAATGTTCGATTGGATCGATCATGATTTTCATTTCTTACAACTAGGATTCGAAGGTTTTATCTTAAATTTTTATTTTAATATTAATTCTATATTTATTTATGAAATTAATTATATTTTTGATTGAAAAATTTTTCATAGAGGACACATAAATAATACTGATTGGTGGATACAACTAACCAAAATAAAACGCTTATAACTATGAGAGTTAAATAGATAACATTTTTATATGACAAATATTCTTTTGAAAATGTTACCTGAATTCAGAAGTCAATTTTTTCAATTACCACTTATTTCAACAACGTGGACATATGTTCGAAATCGATATATAGAAGAAAAAAAAAATTCTCTCTTTCCAGTTCGTTGTATTTTGTTAATGATCGAGCAAACAATATCATTTGTATACGAAAATATTATTCGACCTTTGCTCAATCCATGTTATACATACGGTAAATTTTTCTAACAACGATATCATCAGTTATTCAAATTCGTTCTTTATTAAAAATCAAAATCTTTTCTCCAAGAAGTCTACTTTTCTTTTAAAAGAGCTCTTCGAAATCTCAAACACATTACTGATAGCAACAACAACAAAAAATCTTTTACAGAGATCAATTAACAACATTAGAAACATTATAATTCTTTGATTTCAAATTCAGGTTGAAGAATAGTTTGCTTAATCACTTCTGTCGAAACAAATTTTTATTATATGATTATCATACTTGAATGTTTACGAGAAAACATTATAAACTATATTATGGTATAATATTATTGATAGATTATGAACATAGATTTATGAAAAGTTTTGAAAGAAAATGTGTGATATAACCTTCTCAAAGTTATATATTTTACATAGATGACAACGAATTTATCGTGTCTATCAAGCATTCTAATTACAAAGTGCGAAAGTGCTGTTTTCAATATTTGCTTTCGATAAAAATTATTCAATGTTATTGTCAAATTCTCCGTAATATGTTGCATTCTTAATATAATGTATAGGTTTCTTTGACAGAGGGTCATCATTAATAAGCTATTTCAGCATCTATGAGAAAGTATACTTCTTTTTCCAATCATCTCATCTAATAGTTGTCATGCTCAATAGTATTGCTAGGGAATTTTCAATTTGTAAATCAAACTCCATTTTTTTTCTAATAACTGCATGAACAGGAACAATTAATTAAATTGCTGTTAACCAACAATAGCTACCATGTATAAGCAAATATTTAAACAAGATAAATAAAAGAAATAAGTCACAATGACATAAAAACGTTATGATAAGACAAGTATTACAGATGTATCAAAATGAGTCATCAATTCGCCTTGTTATAACTGTCACTTTTTTAAATAAAAGTTACTTCTAGTTGGCGATGGCGTGCATATGACTATAGACTTATCACATAATATCTTTTGTTGCTTAAAAAATAAACAGAACAAAAAAAAAACATCGAAAACTCAAAATTTCTACCTGAATTTATTTGTTTTAGTGAATAAGTTGGATGATTATCTCTGTTCACATATTGATTCTATTCGAAATATTTGTCCAATTATTGATCATACTTCAAACGAAGTAATGGAACGTTGTAGTGATTTATTTTTCTTACCATTTATGAATAAAACTTTCAAATCATCTACAATTAATACTAATTCGAACAGTGTAAACAATATTCATGAAAAAAAAAATTTTAAATTTATTCAACAATTATCGCAATTTTTAACAAATAGTTTAATGATGATTGAAATCTATTCGAAATCTATTCAAAATCAATTAAATGGTCATGTTGATTCATATCGAAATCTTTGGAAAAATTTGAATATGGAAGACGGACGATCATTAGATGAAGTTGATGTAAGAAATTTTCATCTCTATAATCAAAACAGTTCTCTATTGATTACATTCATAAGTTTCTTTTGTTCATATTTGTGATTTAGACGGATCTGATTTTTCTCTTATTTTGATATAATTCTTTGAAATATTAAATATGAATATTAGAAGTTATTTTTTAGTTATTTTCGGAAAAATTACTTGTACTCGGTCGTCGTATAACTGGAAATTATCGTCGATTTGTTTATCTTATTCGTTATCAAATGAAACGAGGTCGATCTATAATATTTTCATTTTTGCATGCTCAAAATCGTTTTCGTTCAATAATATGGCGTTTTACTCGAAAAGTATATTACTATTTTGGTTATCTCGATTTTACAGATCGTTTGTTCTTTTTTACATAGATTCGAATGAATCGAATGAATGAAAACCTTAATGATCGTAAACGATATGGATTAGTAACATCAAAAGAACGACGTATTCATCATTATTTAGAGATGATAATGCTTTATGCAGCTAAACATCCATGGGTGAGATGGGGACAAGTATGGATCATACTTAATTTAATTTAAAAAAAAAATAAATATTTATCGAAATTTTTATCTTTGTATTTTAGCCACGATTTAATCAAGCATCTGAATCACAGGTTTGTATGTCAATTGAATAAATTCAAAAACATTTTCCCTTCTTGAACTCTTTAATAAGAGTTGAATTATATTGATTTTTATTAATTTAGTCAGAATTTCATCTCGTTGAATTTTTTTTTTAAAGTTTCAACATCAGAGATAGACTTGACTTATTATCTCCTGAAAAATTGTTTCTTTTTTTCATAATACAAATCTAACCATCTTATTGTCTCTTGTATTTAGGTTGAAAGATCATTAAAATTTATTCGTCCAACGTTCTTTCTTTCATCCAATAATACTTCAGATTGTAGCGGATCTGAAGATAACCTTAGAGATCAATCTTTTAATATTTTTCAATCGACACCATATCGAAAAACACGTAAATGTTCTAATGTAATCCAATCTAAAGCACAAATTGAAGACGTTTTATCAAATATTTCCTCGTCATTATCAAGTACACCTGAAGAAAGTTTTGATGTTAAGGATATTCTTCGACAAGTAACATAGAATGAAATTATGATATCATGTTATTATAATTTTGTCTATTAAAAAAGGTTGGCTTACAGACCCATCAACCGTCAGATACTTGTAGTTCAATAGATCAAGATGATGAAAATCGAGTTATTGAACAAGCATTAAATGAAATGGATGATAATGAACAACAACAGCAAGCAGTTTCTGTATTTGATCTTTCTCCTATGCTTGCTAGTGGTTGTGCTGTGTGAAAACAACAATAAAGTCATTAAAAAATTAGGATGTTATGTAAAAATAACATAGAGTGATAACATAAAATCGAACACGTCAAAGAAAAACCAAACCTAAGTCTGACTATATGAGGATGGGTGTGCGTCCTTTATATACAACACCTACATCCAAATACTATTGCGATCAAGAGTTCTATTGTTTTATCTAGAATTTCATTGGCTTACAAGCATAGAAATGCTCAAGAATTCATAATTTGAAACTGTCAAATCTTCTAATCACTCTGATAATAACTATAATCGTTTCTATGGCACCAGAAATGGATTATCAAGTTGTGTCCTCGTTTCACCTTATAAAAAAGCAAAAAATCAGCTATTGTTAAGTAGTATGTTTGTATCCATGTGACATTGCATTCGAAGAGCAGTTGACTGCTATTCAATTTTTACACCAAGTGCTTTGTTCATAGCAATATCGATAAGCAACACTTGATTATTGTCGATGATCAGAGTTCTGTCGAATATGAATTTACAGGCAAACTCTTACCTTTTATACAATGGGGACGTAAGATGCGATTCATTGTCATAATACAAATCTCGAAAATCATCAATGAGTTGAAAGTACGCAATCTAGCTCATGAAAGATTCATAATTGATTGATATGTGTCTTAACATCGTAGTGTAGTACAAATCATCTAGTAGTTTAGGGTGATATTGATCAAATAAATGATACAAAACTTAACAGCGTCTAAATTAGGCACTATGATTATTTCATAAATGCGAGCAAAGGCAAGTGCGATACTAATTGTTGATCTGAACAGAGAACGACATTTTTTCGTATACAAAGTATTGGACTTCGGCATCACCGTCTCATTCGTTTCGTCAAGCCATCGATTAGTGAGAAATGCGCAAGAAGAAAAACGTTATTGGATGAGATCCATAAGCAGAAAATTTTATTCGAAGGTGTTCATGTCTTGAGGGTATGGTTATAGATCTGCGTGTGCGTGCGATGGTGCGAATGTCCGTGCTCTTTTCATCCACGCCCGCACCAATGTCCTCAAGTTATTTCTACATTGCATAGAAATTCAAAGAAAATCATCTGTTCCAGCGATGAAACACATGAACGTTAAGTAACTAGCATAAGAAGAATAATAACATGAAGAGAAAGCATGGTTTATATTCGAAATTGAATCTATAAGAAAAAAATCTTTTGAAATGTAGATTTTCATCGATCTGTGGTTATAATCTGTAGTTTGTTGTCTGAAGGATGAAGCATCGAACTTCATGGCAGATAATCTTGACGACTTTTATTGTCTAATCTGGAAATATATCTGTTTGGAGATGATCAACGTGACCGGCAATAATACATTAAAATTTATCATCGATCAACATCCTCTGGTGATTGTTCATGATAATTGTTTCTTTGTGAAGTTTAATGAAAAGTTATTAATAATAAAAACTCTACCACAAAACGTGTTTTATCTAGAGACGGTCATCGTATTCAATTAAATCGACTCTATCATATTTCACATATTATTTCTGTAGAGATTGAACTGAAAGCTTCATTCCTAGTGTGCATATGTAGCTATTGTTGCGCAGATAGATATAGGATTTTCTTGCTTCGTACCAAATGTAGTTTTTGCGCTGAACGAATAATCGTTGAAACGAATATTTTCTTGAAAGAAGCTGTATCTTTGGTACGAATTTGAAATAAAACGATTCATATCTTTTTTTGTTAATGTCTATTCTTCATCTTTCTAGGCAAGAATAGCATTAAGGTTTGATGACGATAATAATTACATATAAGAGTATAGGTGTTATGTTTGTTGCTTTATGTGAGTCAGTAGCATGTAAAAGTGTTTGCAAAGTAAATCTGGTCGACTATGAAATAGATAAAAGTCTAGGCAACAATGTATCTGAAGGTTTTTCATATTATATTTTGTTACTAACAAGATAAAACATGATAATGCAATCGAATGGATACATTGTTTGATGCATTGTTAATCTTTCTTTTAGATAATTGCAAAAAAGATGCGATATCTGAAAAAATAAAACAAAAAGCTTGATGATACGTTTTGGAATTGATAATTTACTGAAACGACAATCAACGTGGAAAAGCAAGTCTATCGGACTTATAACTAACAATGCTGCCACTACTTTTAATAGTATACCTTCACGCAAAGCGTTACTAGATGCAGGCTTCAATATTACGAGATTGTTCTCGCCTGAACACGGACTAGATATGATCGGTGCCGATGGGCAGGCCATTAAAGACTTATCAGATATCTTAACTGGATTACCAATAACGAGTTTATATGGTGAAAAACTAGCTCCATCAGAAGCAGACTTTACAAATCTTGACATCCTACTTTTCGATATACCAGACGTGGGCAGTCGCTTTTATACTTATTTGTGGACGATGACCTATGTGATGGAAGCTGCAACAAACTATAATAAACCACTAATGATATTGGACAGACCCAATCCCATTTCCGGCAATCTTCAGTTGGCTGAAGGTCCAATGCTTGACACGACTACTGCATCTTTTCTTGGTCGATGGCCACTACCTGTACGACATAGTTGTACATTGGGTGAACTGGCACTTTATTTCAATACTACACAAAATATAAATGCTCACCTGGAAGTGATACCATGCTCAGGATGGAATCGGAATATGTTTCAAACAGATTGGCTTCTGCCGTTTGTTCCCACTTCTCCCGCAATAAAGTGCTTCGAGAGTATGTTATTCTATCCGGGTGTGTGTCTGCTAGAAGCTACCAATGTGAGTGAAGGACGAGGAACTGCTGTTCCTTTTGGTATCATTGGTGCACCTTGGATGGATGGGACTGCTGTTGCCATCGCTTTCAATCAATTGAAGCAGGATGGTGTGAAGGCCACCGACACTTCTTATACTCCTATGGACGGGAAATACAAACACCAATTATGTCATGGTATCAAACTGGAACTTTCCTCGCCGAAAGATGTTCAACCTGTGATCACAAGCCTGTTACTTATAAAATTGATTCACACTATGTATCCGGACCATTTTCAGTGGAGACCTTATCCAACGAATGTTAATCCAACAGGTGTCCTTCACTTGGATAGACTATTAGGCATTGCAAATAGTGAAGCATTATTTCATCTATCTTATCCAATTTTCATCGAGAAAGTAAAAGAATTGACACAAATCCCTCATTGGACAGAACAGATTAATAATTACTTGATTTACTAGATCGACCTGCGACCCATTCATGCAGAGATCTATTTTGTCACAACTAATGGCCTCTTGTAATTTTAGACTTTTCTATTATCCAGCAAAATATTCATGAATAGTTGATGGAGTAAAAGATAATCTTACTAGTTTTTGATAGTAAAGTACTAATAGTTGTGAAAAATGGATGCATTTTTAGACATAGGAAGCAATATTTTAAGGATACGATGTAAGATAACAACTACTAAAAACATGAAGTGACTGCGCGAAGTCGCTTTATCGTTTACTTTCTAGTTAAACAATTATAACAACCTAATCATGAAAAACAGAATCAAACATACGTCTAGAGTACCTTCTAGAAATATGCATGTAAAGAACATCATGATATACACTCTCAACTAAATCTCACACAGATCACGACTTCCACATCCGCGAACAAGTCACATTCCCACAACCAAAATCGCAACCACTGCCACATGCACAGCCATGTCTACACAAACACTCACGTCTACATACACGGACTCATCCGCGACCCAGGTTTGAAACCGGCCGAATATTTTTTAACAGAGCCGAGTCGAGTGGGTGGGATTTTTGGGTTAACTGACAGAAAATCAATACGTTTAAATTTATCAATAAATTTTCTAATATCGATTTCAAAAATATAATGCTGTTGCTTACGTGCTGAATAACTCGAGAATGACTCGACTAAAAGACTTGTGTTTTTTTCTTTTTGTTGGAAAGAGCCCGATGGAGCGTGCATTTTCGTAAAAAGGCCCATTTTCAACGGGCCGTGGGTCCGGTCGCGGAGCCCAGGAGCATTTTGAAAAAAATAGCATTTCTTGAAAATAATGGGATTTTTTTATTTTTCTCTCTGGAATCATTTAGAACTCTCCAAAACTCACTATCGAACATGTCCCGATCTTTGGATTGTTTTCTTTCGAGTGCTGAATCTCGTTCTGGTACACCATGTTCCGCTGACTAGAAAATCAATTTCCACGTATTGAGATGGCTTGAAATGAAAATTTGAAATAGATTTTGTATCATTCTGAATCGAATGCGATTAATGGTTCCTCGTTCCAAACTTTCTGTAGTTTATTGTGGCTCCACGGGAGTCTCAATTCATACGTGGATAGTCTTAAAATGATCCAAATTGGCGTGAAATCGATTGAATTAATTGTGTCTCCACAAATTTAGATTATTTCCATGTGGTCAATTATATTTATTGATGTTCATCGACCGAAAATGTCCAATTGACTGCAGAATCGAACATGAGTATCGATGGAAAATAGTGAATTACGGCGAATCGTTTGCATCTTTAGAATCGAATGACGCTTCGCAGTTGGAATCATACTCTTTGCCCAGTTCAGGTTCGATTTCTTTGAAGATGGTTTCGTTTCGACGGGCATGTTCCAGGTACAATATTGACGTTGACGAGACTAGAGCAGTCATCCATTGCGCAGCGAGGAGACGAACGTCGTTCAGGTTGAAACTGGTGTTGTAATCACGAACAACTCTCTTCATTTGGGCCCTAAATGACAGTTCTAAAAATAATAGGAATAATTTATGATTTGAACTTACCATGCAAAGTCTATCGGGTTGAGTGAGAAGTATTTCATTGGAAGGTGTCAAGTCTCGACATCAAATGTTTTCGTCACTACATTCGCTTTGAACTCTTTTGGAGGTAGATTCTTAAAAGACAGTTGAAGGAGTTCGCCGTTCTTCAAATCGATGTTAAAGTCAATCCGATGTTCTCGAAACCAACCTTTCACTTCAAGTTTACGCTACGATTGTTTTGGAGGCTTCGTTTCATCTGTAAGCTCATTATGCCATGTTGTGTTTTCAATGACTATGCAGATGTGACGATGGGGACCGAACTTCGTTCGTAAATTAAAAGCGGTGCGTTCCATCGAATCGATAAAATGGCTTGCATTCAAAGAGTTATCAGCATCGTATTCGAATATGTCGATCGAAACATAATCGAAACCATGTTCATCCATCATTGCATTTATCGCGAAGCGTTCTTCTAAACGAAATTTTCGAAAATCGAAATATTGCATATAAGTGATAAAGAATCAAGGTAATTCTGATGATTAATCAGCATGGTTCAAGTCCGAGTAAGTTGATAAACATGCTGTCTTCTCAGATAAAGCTTTTCTACAGAGTATAGAGATTACTGATGATTCAAGTACTCAGACTTATGAAATTCACTTTCTTCTTATTCCATCACTTGGTGAGTTCATAGACTAAGATGGAGAGTTCTCAAGTACACGATAGCGCGCAGAACTTAATAATTTCATCAGACACAAAATTTACCTTTTCCTTCATTCTTTGTAAGACGACTGATTCTTTGATTGTTCGTTCACCCACAAAGATCGACGCTCGTCACCACCATTAGTTCAAGTCTCATCGTAGAAAAATATTTTTACGTTGCTTCGTCTTAATGCCTCCATTTTTCGGAAGAAATAGGCACTTTTCGAAACCAAGTTAATCCCGTCTAAACGTATTTTAATTCTGCTTGCAGCTTTGAAACGGAAATCGATATTCTTTATACAGCGTCACAAAAATGGTCGTGAAACAATAGGGAAGTCTGGATGAAGCGATGAAAGCTAATTGAGTAATATTTGCGTTGTAGGATAATTTTTTTCAGATAAGAGCAGATGAAATGTAAAGCGAATTTCATCAGCTTCTTCTTCTGACAGACGAACTCGAGGACGACCGGAATTCGAAATCTTCTTCAGCGGTATAGGCAAAGGAATGGAAACGAAATTTGTTTGTGTGATCAAAGCGATTGAGAATCGACGATTACGATGGAAACGAGCAACAGTCGGAGACTTCAAAGTTGCAGATGCAGTCGAACTTGCAGGAGAACGTAGTTGACGATCCTTGATTGCTTTATTTGCATATAACAATTCCTGCTCTTCATGTAAACTGTCTCATTTCTGCTTTCAGATTGAATAAAGACCGTTCCGACATTTCAAGCACAGTCGTCAATAGAGCAGTAGTGAAGTTCAATGGTAACATCGAATCGTCACGCTCCTTTTGGATGAAATCGATTACTTAAAAATAAATATTTTTGATTTTGATTGAATATTCTTAACTTTTTGGCATGATATGAAGCGTTTGATTCTTTTGAACAAGTTTTACAACGATGAATAAATAAAATTGATATGTAAAACCGACGAAAAGGAGCCCAATCTCGTTGGATCCATTTCAGTATTGTGTTATCCACCAATAGGAAAATTTAAAAAAAAAATTGTGGAACCGTGATTGATCCAATCGATTTCACGTCGATTTGGATCATTTTAAGAGTATCCAGGTACGAATTGGGACTTCCATGGGGTCACAATGAACTATAGGAAGTTTGAAACGAGAAACCATTAATCGCATTCGATTCAGAATGATACAAAATCTATTTCAAATTTTTATTTCAAGCCATCTCAACACATGGAAATGGATTTTCTAGTCAGTGGAACATGGTGTACCAGAACGAGATTCAGCACTCGAAAGAAAACAATCCAAAGATCGGGACATGTTCGATAGTGAGTTTTGGAGAGTTCTAAATGACATCAGAGAGAAAAATCGAAAGATTCCATTATTTTCAAAAAATGCTCCTGGATCCAGAGACTGGACCCGCTGCCCGTTCAAAACGAGTATTTTTACGCAAATTCACACCCCACTGTGCTCTTCCCAACAAAGAAAAGGCAAGTCTTGTAGTCAAGTCATTCTCGAGTTATTCAGCACGTAAGCAACAGAATTATATTTTGAAACTGAAATTAGTTTCTAGATCATTATCCCTTGACATCCATCCAATTGAAGTGTAGGGTCAACCTTATTTACTTTCCGTAGCATTCAAAAGATCAGATCATAGTTGAATTAAATATCAATACATTCTGCACGAAGAGATGAGTGATCAAAATGTGGAAAACCATGATGATTTATGTCAAAGAATTACACGTTCGTCAATGCAGTTATTAATACTTTTCTCTTGACAATGCCTTACGTTTGAGTGCTGCAAGAATTGAATTCTATATTCTTTTTGCTCATCCAAGCCCAGCCCACTTCGACATCACCTAAGCTCAAAATCCAAGTTCAGAAAAAAGCTGCAAAACGTTCAAGCTTTGTAAATTGAAAATATTTATCTCGGCTTTTAGAGAACATATCCAAAAGCTGTAAAACGTATTTTTCGAAATTTAAAAACCAGTGAAGGAAGGAGTATTCTTTTTACAACAAATTTGAAACTCAACATCTGCCTAAGACAAAATCGATCGGGTGGAAGTTGAATCCATGCAGTTGTCTTTTATTTGCAACATAAGAATATTCAAGAGACTACGTCAAGCAGAAGCTTAAAACAAGAAAAGAACTCTTCTTCTTCAAACAAGCGACATTTCAATGAGTGCCCCTGGTACATAGCACCCTCCAACTTGTGAGTACGCCATGCCTTCAAATACTTTTCTTGATGCGTTCCAACTAAGATGAATAACATCTTGATGACCCAAATTTACATTCGGATTTCCTGTACCGATCTATACGCAAAAAAGTCCACATTTGAAATAAATGAGCATGTTGTCTATAGTAGTAAACCTACTTGATAACGTTGTGCCATCTCAATTTTTCCAGTATCTTCAGAGAATGATCCGTTCAACACATATTGACCAACATTATCTTGTCCGTAGCCGCTTAGTGTTCTAGTCATTGGATTAAAGACAAGTTGATGTTGAAAGGGTCCGTACAACTGATTATATTGATAATATTGATATTTCCATAAACCAGACACAAAAATGTTCTCTTGTGGTTGTTGATAGTTTAAGGCAGTTCTTATATTACTCTGTGAATATAGCATAGTAATATTTTTAACGACAACGCAAACGTGAAAAACATGACTCACCATATGAGAAACATCTTTTGTTTTATGTGAAGTTTCCCGATTTATTATCCCAATGTGTTGACTACCATCGACCATCTCTAATGTTTTCTGCTGTGAAAAGTCGTTCTCAAATTCATCGGATTCATCCTTAATGAAGTCGTTTTGAAAAGCTCAAACAAAAGATAGATTCGATTTTATATTACCGATTCGCTGTCAGCTTGAGCGTTTTTATTTTCCTTTTTATTCTTCGGTATATTACTCAATCCAAGACCGAAATTGAGATCGTTCGAATATTGAGTTAGTTCACGATTCAAATCTAGAAATTTTTTCTCATAGTCTCTGTTGTTCACGATACGTTTAAACCAACTGGCTTCAATAAATGTACTGATAAATTCGAGACATTGACGTAGAAACGTTTCCAAACGATGAAGTGCCCTATGTATCGCTTCATTCAAACAATTGGATAGATCGCTCTGTGCTAAAAATCCGATCAATGTATCGATGCGTTCACTCAATTGCTCACATTGTTGTTTATTCACTTCAACCCGTTGAGTAGTTTCTTGAATATCAGTCGTAAGTTTATAAATATTGCTTAATACAGGTATTGATTTTGGGGCAGCTGTCAGTGCCACTGATATCGTATCCAGCGCAGAGGAAGTTGCAATATCCATGTTGTTCAGTTACGATATTCAATCAGTGCTGTTGTTTTCGAATAAGTCAGTGTGCAATGAAATAGTGTATAATGCTGAAGCAAAAAACATGTGTTTACATTTATATTCACCTGTTCTATCTCACGGCTATAGGTTTGTTTTCGTGCGCAAATCAAACATGCTTAATGATCATTTATTGTATCATACTAGGCTCGTTTTATATCTAAATTATTATCAATGTTTTTATACTTTATATCAACGAGCGAGCCATTAAATAGGTAAATTATTTATTGATCATGCTAGTGCATACCTTACCAGCTCAGGTGACGTCTTCTATAGTCAGTTGATGTATCATTCATCATGTCGTATGAAAGCAATAACTATTTTCTTGAACAATATGGTGAAATAAGGGCATCTTTTTGGGCTACATTTTTTAAAAATCTTTCGTTTGTAAATTTATTGAAGAATCATTAACAGCATATTTTCATATTTAAGTTTTGTGCAATATTGATACGAAATTTTGGATATTGGGAAGCTTGCGAACATTCGAAAAACTGGCTATCATGTTTTTCCAAAATTTACATGGTGTGGATGCAATTGTTTTACTCTTTTCATGAACAGAGCTTCTACAATTGAGGAAAACAAAGTTCTATTGATGAACAACACGTAGTACTGATAAGTCCGCTATTATGCTCTCGATTTCTAATCAGAAGAACTCGACTGATAATATTTCATTGGAAAATGAAATATCGCTAACAACAACATCAGATCCTCTTCAGAATTATCTTTCGAATAGTGAATTTCTTCCCCCTTCAACTATTTCAAAGTAAAGAAAAACAATCACACATTTCACATTTTCGGCCATTTCATTTCCCGTTCTAGTGCTCAACTCTTCTCCTACTTTTCTGCTACCGTACCATCGAGCAAAACCAAAGAAAGAACTCGTGAGCCATTCTTTTTGCCTCCATCTTAAATAGTTTCCGTCAATCCTGAGGCCTTGTTATCCACGAGATCGAGCATAAGTAATTCATGTGTGACTCATTTTGATTTATACGAACCTTTTCTAGCATTTTTCTTTTATTCCGCTCCTTCTTACTTTGAGCTTTGTTTTTGTATGAGAAGTCGATTGTGTATATGGCATGATTTGTATTCTTTTCCCGTCATTCCTATAACATTTTCACGGATACATTTTCGTCTTATTCATCAGTTATTGATATCAGCTTGGTTCTCCTAACGTCAGTTATGCATTTTCTTTGTATTAGTCTCTCTATGTTCACTAGAAGTGGACTTTCTCTCACGTTGCTGCTCTCAAAAGAAGCTGGTCGAGGAGATAAATGCTGGCATCATAGAAGGTGAACCATGAATCATTTCTCTCATATATTCATCTATAATCGTTCATCGCTCATTTCACTCTGTTTCCAAGTCACTACTCATACTATCATTTCTTTCTCTTCATTGTTGGCATTTTCGCTACAATCACTCTACTCGATTGTTACGTCTTCCACTAGCTGAAAATTGATTTCTAAATCAAACTCACAGTGAGAGGTGTGCCAGAGAAAACCGACTATTAACTCGGTGAACAATTTCTTTAAACATTGATTTTGTAAAATTTGACTATATTTATTTCGCCTCTTGGTGTTTGTCTTTAATTTTCGATTTTTGTTTTTCTCTGCAATTTTTTTTCACGCGTTTTGAGACCCTTTGTAAATTACTCTCCAAATACTTTTCGTGTACGATGATATTTCCTGTTGTCTCGGTAACATGTTATCGTGTGCAAAAAATGTGATATTTCACGAAGAACCACAATTATTCTTGACAGATATTTCTAATGGAGAAGCACCTAGTCAAATATTTCGTTCGTGCCTCAATAAATCAGTTTTTATTCTCACAAACATTTCAAAGAAAATAAACTACATTTTGCATTAGATACTCTTTGTACAATCTCGAATTTCTTGTTTTTATTATCATGAATAATGCTATCTAAGTCTTCATCGAAAACACGCAACACATATGAGAAATGCATCTTGTTGTTGAGTGTGTTAACGATTATCATCTTACATGTACATGTGTGGGAATCACTATGTGAAAGTGTTTGTCAGTGATGGCTGATAAGGAAGAGTTGTAGGGTGATAAGTGTATTCATCTTCCAATGTGACATTTAGAGTTGAAGTCTACGTAAGGTTGCCTATGATCTATTTCTCATGCTTGTACATGCAAGCAAGACAACCAGGCATACCGCTGATGTATTCTATTTTGGTTTTTGGCAAACTTTCTTGCGTGTCGTTGCAAGCTCAGATTTACCATATATGTGCAAAATTTGTAGGATCTCTGGTGCACGCTCACGCATGGACACACGTTTTTCACAAGCTTACAATTGATTGAGTAATTGTAGCACAGACGAAAATCTGCTATTAGGGGACGCATGCAAATGTATAAAAGAATTTTTCAACAACATACTTCCTCGATTGCTGTAGAATAGCATTGCCTTGTTATGAATTAATTAATTAATCATTTAGCTGATTTATATTTGGATCATGTCAAAGACACTTTTCTAAAATGTGAGATCACATGCAAACAAAATTAAAAGAAGTTCGTAAGCAATTATAGAGATTTCTACCGAATCATGAAATAGCTTCAGCACATTTAGCAAAACATTGTGCAGTAGCGGATATTTATATCGAAAATATCCTACAAGTAAGTTTGGTTAGTTGAAAGGATGGTTGACGTGTGAGCATAGCCAATATTTTTGCATAGCAAATTTAGGAAATTTGAGGAAATCATGTCAACTCAAACTCGTGAGCTTTGTTCATCGAAATATCGTTCGAAAGTGCGAGATACGATATCAGCCTAAGTTGACGTGTCTTGTTCGAAATGTCTCATTTGTGCGGAACTCGATCAATTTTGGCAGGTAACATATGTAATTTGTTTTAGTTTAAGCCATAATCGAACACGAAACGCTTTTTCATTATCGGTTTGTACAATCAGCATGAATAATTGTCTGATCAAATGCTGTTGATCCACTCAAAAATCAATGCTATCCCTGAAAAAGAAGATCAATTTGTCTACATCCATAAATTGGTTTACAGTCCCTTTCTCTGATTTTGCACGAAGGAATTGAAACTGAATATACATCACATGTAATGAACGGAATTATATGAGTGTTAAAAAAGTTGGCTAATTTAGTAGTATAGTTACGAAATCACATCTCTCATAAGGTCCAAAAGATGTTTATATGAATATTGAACCTGTTTTGAGTACCAATGACATGAGCTTTGGCTCGATCCATTCGAGTTTTCAAAGTATTTGATCTTGTTTGCGCTTTTCATCATATCAACTATGGTCTGTGGGAAGCAGTACCCGTCATCAATAGTCAGCGGAGAATGTGAGTGGTGGTAAAGAAAAGACCATATCCACACCCACATTCGCACTAATATCCACATCGACATCCGTACTCACCCACTTACCTACACTCAAACGCACACCCTATACTGAAATGTTGATGAGGAAAGGTCATCTAAATATGTTGTGTTTCCGTTAGAAGCATGAAATCGATGCCCAATTTCTCAATGTATTCGAAAACAGTGTATCTGATTTAAAAAATATTAAAATATGATATGAACAAACAAGAAACTGACCTCGGAGTTTTCCAAGGCAAACGATCGGTCAAAAGTAAAAGTTTCGGATAGTGTTCGTACGATAATTAAAAAATTTGTGATAGTTCATCAGCTGTAATTTGATGATTCGGTGTCCGTTCGATTTTTCTGTTCGTTGATATTTTATAAAGATTGTAGCATGAAAAAAGGATTTCTTCCTCGTGTACGTATTTAGTATGTTCGGGCTGTATTTCCATACAAAATTTGGACTATTCAGGTGAGATTTCAACGTGAATCAATGTGTTTTTGTTTTTGAATGGTATCGACTTTGATGTTGATGTGAAACTTGGAATAAAAAATATGTTCTTCGTTTCATAGGCCGTAATTTCACTTGGTGACATGTCTACACCTAAAACAAAATAGCATCGAAACATTTTCACTGCTGCATATAAATATTTATGGACAACCTACCGCCAAATACGGTACCAGTAAAACGCATGCGAGACATGCCAATACAATATTTCAATTGTTTGATATATGGTCCATAAACTTGTAGCTTGGGTGAATCCGAGGCCAATGCCATGTTGACTTCAGTACAATACCAATTCGATCCTGATGTATAGTACCAGATACAATCCGTCATACTCGATGGCTTTTCCAGATCGGACAACCAACCTATGCAATATTTAAGGTAATTGGGCCCTTTGTTGTGCACCGGATAAAAGTTGACAACCTGATCTGACGGTAACATGTTACTCATTGATTTTGGAAGCGATTTGGCGCTTGGAAACTGCGTGTGTATCGGCAGAAATTGTACGAAATTCGGATTCGGATAATTTAACGAGGACAAATGAGCTGTTTGCGAGGTCGACATGTGAAATTTGAAACTTTTGTTCGATGAACTCTTGGATTTTGGTGAGGGCAAATATTTAGTACCGGGTGAACTTGGCTTTTTTGAAGTAGTGCTTGCTGTATAATTTGACGAATACGAATAAGTTGTTCCCGGTTGTGAGTTATAAGACTCGTGATGAGTACTCGAGTATGCATTAGAATTCTACGACTGTGGATAGGCAGCTTGATAGCTTGGATTGTCATATGAACATGCTCCACTATTCGCTGTTGCTGCCTCACCATCATATGATGGTAATGAAATAAAAGCTTGATAGGTCGGATTGCTAGTGAAAGATGCTCCAGTGGTGAACATTGTACGACTCTTAAACAAGATGAAAAGAAAGTTTTCTCACTTTCAGGTGAAGCCGATATCTTGGCATCGGTTATTGCAATTGATTACCGATGAACACGATGATTTAAGAAGATAATGACCTGCTGGGTGAAATTATAGAGTTTTTACAAAAACAATGCATTATTAGATAAGCAGCGACCAGGACTGCTATTGCAACGGGAGAATCGAATTTCATAGTTCTCGATCACAATCATTTATAGACTTTTTGACAACCTAATGGACTACAGGTTGAATCGTCGTCTTTAACAGAATCAAGAATGAATCTTACCGTTTAACGCACTCTGTTTTCTACCCATTCGATTCATTGCATGTTTTTATCATTTGAAATATTCTGAAATAGCATTGCTGCTGGTCGGAACTCTAAACACGCGTTTGCTTGCGTTTATCTAATGAAATCATCGAAGATGAGTGAGGCAATAGTTGGTGAAACATACAGACCGCAGCATAACTCAGGGATCGAAAACAAACTGAATATCTTCATTGTGTTTGAACCGAGTGAGCTGAGTTTTTGTTTGATATTTGAGAAAAGTTCAACATTTTTATTCTTTTGAAAGAAATTAATAAATAGCGCCCAAACCTATCACTTTTGACTGAATGTTTCAAAACTTCCATCTTTAGTGCAGCTGTTTGCTTCACTCATACCGACACCATCCAGCTGAATGAATTTAGACGTGTGTGAAGATATGTATGAATGTGGGGTGTGGAGATACAATGAATACTCATACTCATATTCAACATGAAGCTTTGGAAACACTCTTTCAAAGTTGATAGTTTTGCGCACTATTTGTTAATTTATCCTAGAAGAAAAATTCTTGAATTCTTCTCTATTGCCAGGCAAAAATTCAGTTCCCTGGGTTCAAACATGATAGAGGCACTAAATTTTGTTATTGGTCACTGACTTGTCTTACACGCTGCACAATTCAATAAAGTCAACGTCATGTCAGTGATCATATGTCCGAAAAAAGACTAATCAGCAAGCCAAGAGAGACAAATATTGAATATCTCTCTTCTGTCATCAACTAAACTAAGGTTGTGTTAGATAAGCAAGAATAAGTATTTTAACTTTCGATCTTGGTATTCTCCGTGTAATACATCAGTATTCTCATTGATCTCTGCAACACGTTATCAAAGAAAAATAGATGCTCGAAATAACTTCTAATGCATACCGTTATATTTTACTTCTTCTTATACATCATAAAAGACAGTAAAAAATGAATATTTATAGCTTTCCCATCGTATATCATGATATAAAGATAAACGTCAGCATCAAAATTAAAACAAATACTCCGCATTGATGCAAGAATGGCAAATATTTACATCTACATTCACACCAAAGACGACAAAAAGAATGGGAAATTTCGTCACACAATGACACAAACACTTACTCTCAAGTCAATCAAGCAATAAAATCACATGAGACGACGATCAAGAGGTCAACTTTTCTACCATTTCAGATGTCCAAACGACTACTAGTCATCTTGTAACGACTGAATCGGCGAGAAAGTGTTGATCTCAAGTTGAAACATAACCAACGATGTTATCGATGCAATGGAACATATTCGTAAGGGTATGGGCACGTATGTATGTGTGAAAAGAATACTCGCATCCAAATCCGCATCTTGACTCAGCAGAATTGAGAGAACAAGAACAATGTCGAAATGAATGAATTTGTTTTCTGAATGATTCCTTCACATAGCAATTACGAAAGCATTATTTATTCAGCATCTTTGGAGATTTCCAACTTAGAAATTGCACGTATGGCCCGAGATGAGTCGTCCATGGCCGTTTATGACCGTATGCGAATCAATTATAACCAAAACTAAAAAACTGTTTAGGATGAACGCTGACAGAAGGATGTGGCTGTGGTTGCAGAAATCATTCTACACCCACACCCTCTCAATCTGACCTTAAGTTCAGATTGAGAAATCGCTGATATTGGTTGAAAAAGAAGGACTATTGTCTGAAAAATTAATTTATTTCTGACAACCTGAACAAATATATTTAGCAAAGAGTAGTTACAATCACAGCATACACTCTGTATAGACTATATGTTGTATCTTTATTTGCGTGTTCTTGAATTACACACCTCGGCAAATGTTCTACTTTTTGGATGTTTGATAAACTGTATACCTTATATTTATTATTTAACTTCTTTTTAAAAGATACAAGACAACATAGAAAAAGGGTAAAGAACACATGAAGATGTAGTTAACGAAATATCACATGTCAGAAATAACCATTCTATGCTTACATCGAATTCTACATCACTCGTACATTATAAGTAATTCATCTATATATTATGCTTACTATTGAAAATATTAGATATGAAAATCCTATGTTTCACACAATTACTATATTGCATAATATCTAATCCATGCATAGAATTTATTTCCCTAGCATCATAACAAAGATCCTAGACAAAAAAATTCCTCGACAAAACAAAAAATAACAGATTCGTAAGTAAAATTGAAAAAGAATTTTTCTATCGGTGTAGTCACTGGGGAAAGTTTTCGTTACTTCTCACTCGAGTAACTTTTCCATACCCTTTGTTCTTGTACTGATCTTCAAACGTCATGATTGTTCAATCTATTCATCGATAAACCATGAAACCATTCATGTTGTAAACAGCTTTCATAGATGTCATTTACAGGCTAGAAATTTCGAAAAGAACATAATCTGATTTAATCATAGTGTTATACATGTGAATGACAAGATTTAATGCATTGTTTTCGACCGAATATATTTGCTTTTGCATTGCTAAGGTTTAGAGAAAATATACATATAGAAAGGTCAATTGTCTTTCATATTTGACGATGAAGAGATTAAAGAATGTATTCAACATTAATATTATGCTGATTACTCATTCTCAAAAATCTACAGTGAGAAATATTTGTTTATGAAGGAAGTTTTAATTGTATATCTCAGTGTACACCAGATTCTGAACACTAAAATTTCAATACAAGCTTTTATTCTAGAAAAATTGATCGGGTTTTTGAATTTAACCATATGTTTTGTTACGATAAAATGTTTAAGCAAGATAATGTGCCATCTAATTGCTTTCGTCATTGATACCAGTGCCTTTAGAAACGTATAAATAGTTTGACACTCAGTTATAATAGATTTGAGAATTAGGAAAACGATGACAAGAAACAGTATTTCGGTGCAACAAGCAATAGCTATCGGGTGGTCCAGAAGAAATGGGTAGTTTTGTATTTTTAAATTTTCTACATACAGGCCCAACCAATTTTGCTATACTTATTACCTAAATATGCGCGGCGAAAATCTCTACAAAATTATATAAGGGTGTTTGATATCAACTGTAAGTATAAAAAAATTTGACAAAAGAATATTGTGAGAGTCCAACATGTTCAACTTTCTAAAGTACCATTCTCGAAAAACTCAGATCGTTTTTACGATTGTCCAGATGGAAGGAATCGCCAAGCCAGCTTGTCTTTTGTACAATTAATTGTCTCCTTTCTCCTGATGTGAATTTACACCCCTTTCAATCAAGTATTATAACTCGGCAGCCATATCATTTTGTGAAGCTGGGTCAGAGACCGCCAAAATTTGGGTAATTTTGCTTATTTCATTCGGAAAAAAGCAACANCAAAATTGGATGTTACGGGAAGGATATGACTTGTAGGGTCAGTCTCGAGTTCGTGACCAATTCGACTAGCTTTTGCGAGAGTAAGAGATGCATTTCGAGAACAGTACTAGACTATGATCTAGGAATTTCAACAATTGAACGACGAAAGTATCTCATATTTTCAGAACGACTATCCGACTCCGACTAAAAAATATCATTAAGATAAAGAGTATAATTCGCGTCCGGGTTCAAAAATTTTGGACCTGACGGACTCTACCTCTTATTCTGATTTTTTTTTCTGTCACTAATATTAATCATTATTACTCTCAAAGCAATTCTCATATTTCGATTAATGTGAATATCTATTTGAAAAAAGAAAATTATTAAATAATTAAACTTACTTGTTCTCCATGACCATAACTATATTTAATTGATGCAAGATCATTAAAACGTTGTATTTCAATTAAACGTCCACGTGTATCATATAAAAATTCTTCATAATAGGAACCAATTTTCCAACTGGATAATTTTTGATCATTATCTTTATATGTATAAGTTATCGGTAAAAATCCTCGTGTATTTATTGATTTTAAACGATACTTATCTGAATAGATCATTGTTAAAATTTCATTTTGTTTATAATCTTGTATAATTAATTTTTTTTCAAAATGATCAAATAACATTGTTAAAACAATATTATTATTAATCTAGAAAAACAAAAAAAAACGAAAGGTTTTATTATTATTTATTTTTTTTTTAATAGATAAATTTACCTTTAAATGACAAGAACGTATTTGTTCATTATCATAAGGTAAAACTGAATAAATTAATGAATTTGAAAATTGAAATATCGAATTAAATTCAATCGTTTGATGACGATTTTTTAAAGTTAAGGAACGATTTGAACTTGAAATTAATTTTACTGATGGATCCAAGGTCGAAATCACTATTGTAGAATTTGACAAATCTCGACGAACTAATCGTGGTTGATTATCTTTAAATAAAAGCGAATAATTATTCAAAAACTTGTTAGCGAAAATCCCTTCAGGATTAAAATATAAAGCACTATATAGCTGTTTCAACTGGGAAATCATTTTATTCTATGTATTTTGGGACACATTTCTTCATCATTCACTTATTTAATCACCCAGACATGCAATAAGCAATTTAGTTTAGCGAAATGCTATTGAGATCGTGTATTAAAATGTCTGTGACGGTCTGGTGCGCGACAAAAGTGTTACTAAGGCGACTACTATGGCTTGTGATGCTCCCATGTTTACGTCTGTCATGATCTGTGGAGCGGTCGTTCAAACTTGTACCCTTATAGCTTGACATTCTTTTTAGATCATGTTATAGAAAAAATTCTTTTGTAAAATTTACTTTTTAATTGGATTGTTTTTGATTTACTCATTAAATAAGTTGTATTTTCATTTGGATTAATGATATCTATTCGATAAAATGAATGATTAGCTGATGTGAGTAATTCATTGTAATAACCATCTTCATGAATAATCTTTAAAAAGATAAAGAAAAAGAAAAAGAAATATTTTTTTTTGATCCAATTAAATAAAATTCATACTTGTTGAATATGTCCAGCTTTATTATAAATAAAATGATTTCTAATTATATTATTTTTAATTATTCCTGTTAATAATCCATTATCATATAAAAATTGTGTTGATAAACCATTATCATCAATAATATGTGAGAAAAATTTTTGTTTAGAAAAATTAATCTGAATTAAATTTAATTTAAAAAAAAATACAGAAAAAAAAGCAAAAATCGATTTACTTTTAATTTATTGCCACTTGGCATTTGAATAATATCATTTATACGCATAGCATAATCATATTTTAATAATAAACTTTTACCATTGCGATAATTTATAGATTCTAATTTACCATAGGCGTTTTGAGGAGAATCATATGTAAAATTAAAGATTGTTTCACCTAGGAAAACCGACAAGAAATGTTTTAAATTTAAAATGAAGACAAAAAGTTAAACACGGATATTTTTGAAAATATTTTTTTCATGGCAATAGGAATAAATATTTTGACTAATTGAAAAATTTTTCTGGAAAAGCAGTCTTTTGGCTTAGACTGAAAATAAGATCGTTTGATAGAAAATATTTTTTCAAAAATGCAATGTATTGTACATTTTGAAATCTTTCGTAGATTTACTGCAGTTTGATGAAGAAAGACTATAGAGAACTTAAGGATGTTTCACTTTGGAAATTTGAGTTTTCCAGTTAAGATTTATCCTAACTATTACCATGAAGAAAATATATCAAAAATGCTAATCTTTTCGCTTCCAAAACATAATAGTTCACGTATGCTATTGTGGAAAATACTCCGATGCATAGCAAACCTTTACTATGTCATGGTAGGTAATATCTCGAACTTGATAAATGAACAGTTTCTTGCTATACGGTAAGTAGAAGCAACACACGGGATCATTCAAAAGTAATCCGGCAGTCTTTGAGTGTGAATAACTTTTGATAGGAACAAGGCAGAGAGCTACAATTTTCATCGTTCAAAAGATAAGATGGAACCACATCGAATCATATATTATAGTTTTTTTGCTAAGATGCTTTCTAGAATTTCCTTAATCTATTTTCTAAAAAAACCAGCCGGAAAAATGGTTTCGTATAAAGAAAGCAAAATGTAAAAAAAAGTGATTTTTTTTCTCACATAAATACGTAGAAAAATCCGCTAAGTACGAGTAGAATACGTATAACTTCTGAAGGCGTAACTCTCAAAGTTTGAACTTTGCACAATTCTTTAGGTTTTCGATTAGCGATTGAAATACACATTTGATCATAAACAGTTCAGTGTAGTCACCTTACGAAGTACGTTGGTTTTCAAAAACATTGATTCAAGACCTTAAAAAAAAGATTAGGTCAAATTATTTTATATTACATAATTCGATACGCCTTTGTCTTCTCTTTCAAATTGTGAAAAACGCAACTCTCTATATTGTTTCTATCAAAAGTTATTTTCAATGAAAGACTTTCGGAATTATTTTTTGACCACCCCGTATTATTGAGTCATTTTACATTAATGATTTACTACTTTAAGTATATAATTATTTGGTATTTGACTTTTTAAAGAAATTTTTCCGTTTATCGATCAATTATATAACAAAAGTTATTCTGTATCTATATCTTCTTCATCTTGTTTCTGAGAGTGACTGTTATCGTAGGCTTATAATGATTTCAGTAGGAAATACTTAACTTATTACATCAAATTGTTTGATTCATTTTATTTGCGTTTTACACTGCTTATTAATCCTTTATTCACAAAAAACAAATGTTCGAGCTTTCTGACCGATGGTAATCATTAAGATCTACTTATTTGCATATTCACATATGAGCAAAATAAATCATTTTCTATTCGACTTCGAATAAAATTTCGTTTCGTTTATGAAATAAAACAACTTCAACGAATTTGAGAATAATAATTAATATCTCATGAGAAAACGTCTTCAGATGTATAGCAAACAAAAGTCATATTTTTGAAAATAAAACTTTTATAAACCTGTCAATGCATCAATAGTTGCTCGATGTTGTCCAACTCTATTAAAAACATAAATTTCATTTTTATCTGTTGAATGAATATTTAAACCATAATTTTGTTCATCTTCATTTGTTAATGATATTGATTTTAATTTAAATATTTCTTTTGAAGGTATATTTGTTAAAATAACTGAACCATCAGGATAATTAATAATTGATGCAAAATTTATTTTAATATTATTTAAATTAAGATTTAAATTTTCTAATTCATTATTTGATGAACGTAATACACGTATAAATGGTTTAAATTTTTCTAATAGAAATAAATCACCTTGATAATTAAATGAAAAATCAATTGGATTATTTAATTGAATAAAATTTTCATTATTTAAACAATTTAATGATTGACCAAGAACTATTTCAACAAGATTAAAATTTATTCGTATACGATATAAATACATATCATCAAGTACATATAAATCACCATCAAGTGGATGAATATGTAATGTTGTTGGATTATAAAGTTTAAACTAAAATAAAACAACAAGTTTGAAAAAAAAAGACTTTCCAGTTTCATTCTAACCTGATCAAGTGAATAAGTTCGATTGCATGATAATTGTTTATGATAATCAATTTGATATTCATATGATCCAACAAGATTTGTCACATGACTATTATCAATACTTAATTTTCTAATACGTTGTCCATCAATAAAATAAATTGTTCCATAACGATCAATGGTTAAACCTTTTGGATATGATAATGAAACATGTTTTGCTAATTGTTCATCACCGCATGTTATATTTTGAATTAAATCTAATGCACAATAATGACCATCACCAACAACAATTTCATAATTTTGTTTTAAATTCTCAATCGAATCTGTTTTTATTAAACGTATTATTTGTCGACGATAATAATCTGATATATATAAACGACCATCAACAGGATCTGTTGTTAAATAATATTTATATGTATACTGTTCATTTAATTCAAGTACAGGTTTAACAAGATTAGTTGCTGATCGGTACATCCATATTATATTTAAATCACCAATATATATTGTACCATCATTACTAACAGTTAAACTTGTTGGATTAAGTAATTTAGTTAATAATGCTTGATTTTCATAACAATTTCGACAATCAATTGAACGTGATTGATCACGAACACCAATTAATGTTGAGAATTGAAGAGGTGAATCTGTAAGTAACATATTTGTTCCATCACCTTTATGTAGAATACCTAGTAAGAAAAAGATCATTCATAGTATTTTATACAAGATGAAAAGATGAGCCATTGAAGATTGAATTTTTAATATTAATAGCAAAAGAAATGCTTACAAATCGTCTAAGATAAAATAAACAAAATCAAGCTAATACAAAAATTTTTACCATACGGATGGCAAAAACATTTCTTCTATAAGGTTATCTAAAATTCTTATGGCTAACCAAGAATAGAGATGTACAGGATAAACTTTTTTTCGTACGTTGTAGTCTGACTGAGAAAAACTTTCTAATCCTTACCCTACCGTGTGCATTTCTAAATTTGGATCCAACCAAGTCTGGACCTCCTGAAAAATGTTCTGTTGATTGGGACCGATCGTACGAATGCTACTCTCAAAGTAACAGACCATCAAGATTGCTTCAGAAATATGTTGAGTAAAAATAATCGAAAAGAAGTACATCTCATCTCCGGAGCAGCTAGTAGACTCGGACGAAATTTCATTGAGAATATTCAAAAGAATTTAATGAATCGAGTATGAGCTCCGAAATGTTCAATAAATCCCATCCGGATTCAACAATTGTCGATCTGACGAGCTCTAACCAAGTCATCATGATTTGAAGAACATCTCCAATTAGACTTCCCTGATTCATATAGAATGCGATGAAAGTCGATATCAACGTTGTCAACACTTTTTACGGATGAAAGATGCTAAAAATTCGGCAGAAAGTGTTTTCATTCTCGGAATGCTAGACGTGGTGACCGGGTAGGGAAAAGAACGAAGCTCATCATGACCCGGTCCCTCCTGCAACAGACAACCTGGCACTAGGTCGCCTATCCTCAATTCTATTCACCTCACAACGACATTTACCTGCTTATTTTTATTCTACTTTCTGTCTAAAGTTACCATGAACTTTTGAAAAATTACCAGAAGTTCGGGAAATTTGACGTACAAGCTCCACTGATCGATACACTGCTTGATGGCAAACATATAATACTCAATAACACAAAAAAAAAAACTTTCGTTTTGCTACTTTGAACAGGAATATCTTTTATAATGCTTTACTTCTTCTTTTATCAAGGAGCATCAGTTAACTTTAATGTGAATTCGTTTCTAATACATATCGAGAAATAATAATATTTTATATAGACTATAATTAAATTTAGTCTCTCAATCAACTTTTCAATTTCATTCTCCTGAACTAATGAACTGTCATACACCTATTGACATTCAATTTTCAAATAATTATAATTTACCTGCTTGAATATTTAATTTATGATGAACATTAAATGTCCATCCACCAATATTTGCTGTTGGAATATCTTGTCCAGTTATTTTTACTGATTTTCGATACCAATCAATTTGATTACAATTCATATATTCATACCCAATTGAAACTATTATAAGAAAATAAAGTTTAATTATTTAAATGATTAATTCTTTGAAACATACCAATAGCTTCAGCTAAGCCATGTACATTTTGATCATAAGCATTTCTTCTTGGCCATTCATATTCATAAATTAAATTTGTATCTGCATGAAATTTTTTCATAAAAAAAGTTCCTTCAATGCTTATACTTAAATGTAATTGTATTAAATCATCATCAATATGATTTCCTGTTAATACAATTGTTAATATTGATTGATAACGTCTTGTACTTGATGAACTTAAATAAATAAATTTTATAGGTAAATCATTTTTATCAATTGATATTGATTGACGAATTATTTGTGAACCTAATGTATATGCATAGTCAAATTTATTATTTGTTATAAAACTTCTATCAAGACTAGTATCCCATAGTTTTGGTTGAATTGTTTCCGAAAGATTTCTATGACAAATATTATTTTCAATAATTTCATCCATATAAACATAACCAATATGAAGAAATGTATTCCATGGAACAATAAATGCATATTGTTTTGTTTGAAATGGTTGTCGAATAAATTGAATAAGTACTGAACCACCACCATTAATTAATAAATTAAAACTAAAACATTACAAACGGAATAAACATTTTAATTTAAATAGAAAAGAAAGATTCTCTTTTTTTTTTTATTTACAATCCATCTTTATCTGATATTGTATAACCTTGATTTGGATTATTAAATACTTGAACTTTAACACCATTAAGTGGAAGAAATTTTTTATAAAATATTTGACCACGCATAACTGATGCTCGTCTAGAGTAAAAAAAACACAATAAATGAGATTTTGATTTTGATACTCGTATTTTTCTTTATGGTCGAAACATTTTCACAACACAATACAAAAAAAAAAACATCGAATAAATCACCTCTTATCAAATGCAGATGCTCTGAAAGAATTTTTAAGTAATATAAAAATTTAAGAAAGAAAAATTATATTAATACCGCTCATTAAATGATGTATAAATTGATGATGTTTGTAATCCATCTTCTTGAATTAAAAATTGCATACGTTCAAAAAATGAAGCGGATGGACTCGGTGCTTGACGTCTTAATAATCTATAGAAAAAAATTATTTACTTAAAAGTTTTTTTTTTGGGTTATAGTTTAATTATTTATACATGTCTTTAGCAGTTGTTCTTGAAATACATTCTATAGTTGATTGACATCGATTTGATGAACAACAATCAGGGTCAAGACAATCAATAAGACCATCTAAACAAATTTTTGTTAAATAAATCATTTTTATAATTATAATAATAAGCTTTCAAGTTAGTCGTATTGATCTTCGATGTAAATTAAGTAAACTAAACTAGTAAAGTCCAATGTAAAATCGAATGAACATATGATCAATTAACTAGAGCTGTAAGCTGATCCACTGAGCCGCCATCGCCAACGCTTTAACGATTCAGTCACTACCGCCGAAACATAGAAATGAATATTAGAGCTTTTGACGTCTAGGATCAGTTTTCAGGGATGTTCTTGTCTAGTTTCTTATCATCATGTTTTCTGCCAGTATTTTCGCTCCTTGTCACTTCAAAATCTTAGAGAACTTCAGAAAACTTTCAGGCGACATCAATTAATGCATCAACTTTCATGTCGAATAATAACTATGATCAATTTTCTTAATAGTTTTACTACGAAAATATCTTGGTAGACTATTAGTGTTAACTAGAAGTTTTATTCCTGTTGACTTTAATTAATATAAAAGTAAAAAGAAACAGACTCATTAAAAAAAAAAATACTTCAAAGTTAGTTAACTGGAACTCAACAAAAAAAGCTGTCGTAATTTATTTATTATTATCAACCCTTTGATATTTAGAATTGATTATTAGACGAATTTTCGATAGTTGTTTTTTAGCTTAATAGCACGAAAATAAAACAAAATTCGTTTTCAA